AAAATAAAAATTTAAACCATTCAGGTACCCTTATTTCCAGTTTGAGGACATGGAGAATAGTACTAAATGTTAGATTGAAGTATATAAATTTGAATTTAAGACATTAAACTGATACACTTTAGAAGATAAACTTTTATCACCTGGTGCAAAAAGGTATGTGTCAAAAAACTTATAACTTGTACAAGAACCCTGTACAAATTATAATTTGTACAAACTTACATCTTGTACACAACATATATATATGTGTATGTTTTATGCAAAGCTTTACATAGCATTATGTCAAACTGTGCAAATTAAATTTCCTTTCTAATAGAATTCATCGAATACAAAATAAAAAGGAACAGGCTTTTAGAACTTTTTACGCTGTGGATAGGCAGTTTGGAATTTGTTAATATATTCCCCACATATAATATCAGATTATTACAGGACATTTTCCATATCAGATGTATTTCGGCCCTTGGGTTGATATTGACCGAGGGCTGACAGTGGCGTAGCTTGCATGTATGCTCAAGCATCCACATCATTTTGACGAAAAACAAATATGTGTTCGCAGCAGTTAAACTTTAACTGCTTGAAACTCGGAGGTATAAAAATTTAACAAGGGTCATGATATGAGGATACAGTCCAATCTTTTTCGAAGCAGTATACGTGGTCTTTCATTTAGGATAATTTAGTTTTTGTAAACAAGTTGGATAAATCGCAGAAAAGTGTTCTCGACTTTTTTCGTAAAAAGTCTACGTCATCGGCTACGGCAAGCGCAAAGGATGATAATACGCAGACCCGCGGGCATGTTTCATCTGAAATTGAGCCTAGCGGAGCCATTGCTTCTACATCTGACTAGCAACGTTACTAACAACTAAACCACCATATCCCGATATCGTTTCCTGTGACATGCAAGACGACGTGATAAATATCAATTTGTAATAGAGTGTGATCATTCTTAGTCTTATAAATTCCTGTTTCTATCTAGGTACAAATATTAATTTTATTTTCACTGATAAAAGAACAAAGTTCCAATGTCCCCCGCATTGCTCATATACTATCTATCCAAGGAACAAGGGCAATAACTAAAAAAAACATTTTTTTCCTTTTAATTTTATTTCTAATATCTTAAGAGAAATAAAAGCTTCAGAGCAAATGCAATTGGATTTCCATTATAATTTATATTTCAAAGGGTCATGAAAATATTTGATGACTTATTTTCGAAAGTGTCAAAGACATTGCTGATGATATAAGTTTCATAAAAATCTTACAAGAATTGAGAGTGCTAACAAGACCGGACGGACATCCGGTATTTCCATGTCTCCTGCAACTCGTTAAGCCAAGTAATCAAAAATTAAAATCTCCATGGGGAGACTCAAATTCCTGGAAAGGGGGGTCAGTTCAGTTCCTGTATTCCGAAGTTCCATATACAGAAGTGCCACTGTAATGGGTCAGTTTTTGAGATGTCAAATATAAGATTAGGTTGGAAACTTTTACATCAAATATTTATGAATAATTAAATGATGGTAGTTTCGAGAAAACAATAAAATACAGTTGGAAATATAATAATATGAATTGGTGGGTATTTTGAAATTAAACAAAAATCTAACCAGTATCGGATTCTGGTGGAGTACAAGTGCTTACAGGAAAAATGTCTGAAAAAATTTAATTTTCTGTAAACAAAGGAGAAAAATAAGTTTAATATATTGATCCTTTCAAGTGGTTCTCAAGTAGAAGTTCAAAAAGTGAAAAGCTTACGGACGACGGACGACAAATATAATACATCTGATATGAAATCTTTCTATCATATGCCTCATCAGAGGAGAAAAACAAAAGTACAAAATATTTTCATATTGACGATAAAAAAAAACCAACAAAACATAATAAACACTGTTTGGAAAAGTCAACTTTTTTAAAGTAACTTAAAATTATGCTGGAAACTTTGAAAAATGCATTTATTGTATCATTTGTTTTGCATTTTACATAATATATTTTCCTGTCTCCTAATAATTGTTTTGTACACTGAAAACGTACCATTGAGGTGTATTTTCCGGAATTTACCGATTAACGTCGGAATGTCATGCGATAACGTTACGGAAAGGCATGCGATAATAGCCGGAAGCAGTTTATAATTTTTCATATCAGCCCGCTAAGTACCATTTCGGAACATATGGAATTAACGTTAATTTAATGCTATTACCATACTGTAAACAATATAAGTTATTTTCTCTAAGTATATGATAAACATTTTTATTTGTTCTGTGTGTCTGTCCGTCATATATGTATAATTCTTATATGATTTGCATATTAGGGAATACGTTAATATGATTGGTCGAGAAGGCTTCCGGTAGTGGATCTTGACGTTGTTTATTTTTCGATAGACGACGTTGACAGAATTACTTTTTGTAACCAATGTAAACAAGATGGCGGCGAAAATAACTCAAACCGGTTCAACGTTAAAAATATTTATTTAAAAAATAAACTAAAAGAATATCTTATTTTCTTTCAAATAAATGTTTTGTGTTTATAATTTAATTTGACGATGAACACGAAGTGAAAATAAATTATAAACACAAAACATTTATTTGAAAGAAAATAAGATATTCTTTTAGTTTATTTTTTCAGATAGCAAATTTCATGGAGTATATTTTTTGGCGTTAACCAAAGAAATTATTCATGCGCCAGGTCAAATCAATGCCACGAATTTACAATTTACGTTTAATAGAGGTAACGAGCGGAGAAATCAAATTCCTTATCTATATATTCAAAGAATTATAAGGATTAAACGCATTTTTAAAAGAATTTATTGGTGTATAAACTGGACCAAGTCACTCACAAACATATCATAAATGTCCTTCGGACTTTATTTGTTTGTTAGTGAATTGGTCGAGTTTATACACCAATAAATTCCTTTAAAAAGTAGTTTAATCCTATAATAATTTAGTTGAATTAAATCTTTTAAATTCACATAGTGAAGAAACAAAGAAAAACTGCTTAAAGCCATCCATTGTTGTGAACCTGTTATCTAATAGTAAAAGAAAAAAAAAGAAAAGTCTCCAATAACAAAAGTTTAAAAAACATTATTACAAATATGGTTGACCTATTGCTAGATGGTAATTGAAAAACAGACTGAAACACAAAAACTTAACCAATGAACCATGAAAATGAGGTAAAGGTCAGATGATACCGGCTAGACCGATATGTACACCTTACAATCATTCCATGCACCAACTATAGTTGACCTATTGCTTATAGTACTTGAAAAAAAAACACAGACCAAAACACAAAAACTTAACATTGACCAGTGAACCATGAAAATGAAGTCAAGGTCAGATGATACTTGCCAGACCGACTTGTACCTCTTACAATCATTCGATGTACACCATATAGTTAACCTACTGCTTATAGTATCTGAGAAATGGATATAATCACGTAACTTTAACCTTGATCACTGATGCATGAAATGAGGTCGAGGTCAGGTAAACCCTGTCTGATTGACATGTAGACTTTGGAAGGAACCCATATACCAAATATAGTTATCTTATTACTCATAGTAAGTGAGAAATTCACATAACAAAAAAATGTAATTTTTTATCAAGCAGTAAAACCAGGTTTTAATCCACCATTTTCTACATAAGAAAAATGCCTGTACCAAGTCAGGAATATGACAGTTGTTATCCATTCGTTTGATGTGTTTGTTTTTTTGATTTTGCCATTTGATTGGGGACTTTCCTTTTTGAATTTTCCTCGGAGTTCAGTATTTTTGTGATTTTACTTTTCACTGAACCATAAAATGAGTTCAAGGACAATTGACATATGACAGACGAAAACTTCGTAACATAAGGTATCTGCATATAAGGTATGAAGCATCCAGGTCTTCTTCCTTCTGAAATATAAAGCTTTATACTAATAGTTTAGGCGGCAGCAGGATAGTAATACCTATGCTTCGCATACTGCGACGAAAGACAAAATCCGGATCAAAGACTAAAAAGGCCAGGTTCTGCAGTAAGTTACTTTAACTGCAATGAAACTAGCATTTGAATTAAAAAAAAATAGTATTGGAACATAAAATTGGAAAACAGGAAGTATATATTAAAACAACTTTATAATGGAAGGTGCATAACCTCAATAGGTTTGAAAACTTTCTGTAAAGTTTCAGGTCTGCGTTAAAATATGTAGCAGTAGATTACACAATTCTAATACCATTTGATACCTTATCCTTTATGTAAAAATAGTTAATATTTATGTAACGTCTTACCACTCTATCTTCTTTTTTGTAAATCCTTTACCTACACACTAAAGTCGGGGTTGTTTAAAATGGTTAGTAGTTTCAAATTGGTGGCATTAATATATGCATCTTTTATGAAGAACTGAAATTCTGTATTGGAATAGTAGCATTATTTTTTAGTATCGGGTTTGTACTAACATGAGCAACATGACTGGTGCCACATATGGAGCAGGATCTGCATACCCTTCCGGAGCACCTGAGATCACCCCATGTTTTTGTCGGTGGGGTTCGTGTTGCTTTTGTTTGTTTGTCTTTTTCTTTTTTAGCCATGGCGTTGTCAGTTTATTTTTGACATATGAGTTTGAATGTCCCTTTGGTATCTTTCGCCTTTCTTTTGTGAATGAAAGGCTCAACATTCGGCATATCAGTCCCGTGCAATACCTAGACTAGACCTCACAATTGTGGGTATTGGACTGGACTGGTATTAGTCTGGTCTTTAATTTGTACTGTGTGTGTCCGATTGTGATATTGTGACCGAGTATGAATTTTGCATGGACGATGATGCACGCATGACAGGAGACCCGTACCCTGTCTCGTTCTTTTAGGGGTTCATGAGATTCCCTCATTTTGTGTTTGATACCTTGGTGTGTCACTTCCTTATTGATGTACAAGATTTAAACATCGTAAAACTACTGTCTCCTTAATTTAGGGTTACATCGGGACTAATTTGAAAATGGTGTGAACATCTACATTCATCTCATTTATAATGATTTTACAAATTTCGAGCAAATCAAAAGAAATCCTTTTTCTTTTTTATTCTCTTGATTTTTCATATGTTTGCATATTGCTATTTGTGTTTGATTAATTAATGGGATTACATAAGTCTCCATTGCCGCCATTGTTTGGCATATAAAATGTTCATTTGTTAATTCAAACAATTATTCTGTGTAAATTTAAATAGTTTTCGTTATAATCATGAAGAATAACAATACACTGACTGAGAGTACAACAAACGAAGTCCTTAGAAGAATTGTATCAAGTGCTTTACATATATCACGCCACGAAATATCTTGCTTATTATTATCAATCAAACCTTCACACGCGTTCAAATCTGAATTATGAACATTTGATTTGTTATTCTGCACTTCAACCCAATTTTCTCTCTTTTTCAAGTTATTCCGTCTACAGCACAGTACTATCCACTTTAGATAACTTGGTATTGGGTGATTCTTATTTCTAAACTGAAGTCGAAGACAAATCATTGTACTTAAGCATGTCAAAGAACTGAAGACGAGGTCAAATATAAGGAAATAGCCAAGCAAAGACATCGGTTCAGATGTTTTCGGTAGGTGATTTCCGATCAGAGTCAAAAACACAGATATCGCCAATAATACCGTGATAGCGTATGAAACTCTTTCTCCGGAGTCTGGTGGTAACAGAAATACGCATGAATTCAAAGCCATTAAAAATATAACAGGAAGGACAACGTTGATGACATAAAACCCTGGACGTCTCTTCATTGACACTGACATATCAATTAATGACAAACCAGTAACTTCGTCTACTCTGTCATTGAAAGCCGTTGACGTTATCCGCCAGGTTCCGTGTTCCGAAAAATAATTCAGTTCGATGCCATTAAATGACTGCAATAAAATTTCATTTGATAAAGTTCCCCATGCCATCAAACGTATTGTACAAATCTGTTCGTCAAACGGAAAGTAAGTAATATCCACACTACATGAACTAATTAAAATTTCTCCTGGTGTCCAGTATGCAAGTCCGTTGCTGAAATATCTTACTGTCATAAAGTCTTTTCCAATCTGATCGATTTTACAAAACGGATTTGTAATAACTAGTGTTGGTTTCCATACATCATCCTGTAAAAACGTTAAGGTATGTGTATTGTTATAGTCTAAAGTGTTCCAAGTCATTCTTGAATCATGCCACGTAATTCTAAAAAATCCAATGACTGCGAATTTTCCGTTTACTTCGTCGAATTCCTGAATGGCACCCAAATTAAAAGATACATTAACACGTGTAGCCAATGACTGGTCATCTCCTGGTCTTATTTTTTTATTGTAGTCCATGAATAGTTTTGAATAAAGTCTGTCAACATCAGATAGTCTAGAACCAAAGATAAATGTTCCACTGTTGAGCATGAGAAGTTGTAATATGAGAAAGCTATTCCACTCCATCTTTCAGAATGTAAAAATAATTTCCATAAATTTATGATAAAACACTAAAATGTTTTATTAATCGGATTACATCTTCTTGAATGTTCGATATCGACTTGAAATGACAACACTTGTTATTTGTTTTCATGCTGAAACGACTTTCAAATTGTAAATGCATCCAATTAAGTAACATTCAGGAACGTCCTTCCTTCTCCGCTTAAATCACTATACAAACATCTGTTGATAGTATCAATGTTGTGTAATCAATTAGTCACTAATCATATTAATAATATCAATACACCTTTTATTTGATATTGTATCATTGCATTTCTAATGCATGTCAAATAAAGCATAAAGAACTAATATATTGAACAGTCTTAATGTATAGAAAAACTTCAAAATTAATAGATAAATTTGTTTTTGTAGAGGCATTGTCCTCATCTAATGATAACTATAAAAACCATTTTCTACATTTTTCTAAATATATAATATCAATGAATGGTTTTCTCTCGATATACATTACTTCCCTTACGTTTTATTTTTCTTGACACGTGAAGCTTACTTGATACTGAATATGACTGCGAGTCTTATGTTATAAAAAGAGGACAGTTTTTCTAGAACATTAAATGCAAAATCATAATTAATTTGATTATTTCACATAATCAATTTGCAAATAATGAATAAATAAATAAATAATTATATAATGATACCTAATAAGCAAGAATTATTTTACCCTTACATAACAAAACTTTCGCTTCTGTATCATTAATTCATAATTAGTATCGAATTGTGTAAATGATGTATTAGTTCGTTACTAAATATGAATTGATTATAAAGCGATAAGCAAATTGTGCTGTATCATGAAATTAATATGATATAAAATCCACCTTTTACCTTTGTTGTGAATTCTTTTTTTCTTTTTAAATATTGTGTACTGTATATTGATTATTGTAAATTCGATATATGCAAGGGTCATCAGTGTACTGCTAAGTTGAAAATGAATAACTAGAAGATACAGAAGTGAAAATAAACATTATGACAAAAACCAATCATTTAAAAAATTTTAAAAACAACTTACATGTTGTAAAATCCAAGAAACAGCATTTGAAAGTTGAAAATATTTTGACCAAATATTATCTCTATCAATTGGCGTTCGAATGCTAAAACATGGGTTCTTTAGTTTTTAACTATAAATAATATTGTGACATTTTTCTGTGAATTAACATGGCGGGTGTTGCATTCGTAGCAGGAAACTCACCTGATCTCGATTCTCAGTTTGGAGTTCATGCGATTCCCTCAGATTGTGTTTGTAACCTTGATTTGTCTTTTCCTACCGATTTTCGAGATTTAAAAATCGTTGAACTACTGTCGCCTTAATCTATATGTTCATATTATGGAAGTAACTTTGTTTTCCCTTGCTTATCTGATGAAAAAGTAACTCATAAAGAATTTATATCATGACTTAAAACTTTATTTGCTTAGTGAATAATCCTGGTGTACTTAATATTCTAAAATAGTTCAATCTATGGTGTAAGGGAGGTAACTGTTGATTTACATTTCATATAAAAAGGATAGGTTTCATAAAAAAAAATGGCATGGGAACACACGAAATGAAAAAATTTAAGATTCTTTCAACTTTTTAGCAACATTTTTCTGACCAATTAAGCTATGTTTATGCAATTTACTGTCTATGTTCAAAGTTGGAGATATTGTTTTAATGTCTCAAGTAAAAGTATGCTAACTTCTTTTGCCCATCAACAGTAAACAAAAACATTTCTAAAATAGTTATTTCCCCTTTGCTGCCAAGTAATTACTGTAAAAGCTACATCTGGTGCAGTAAAATTGGTACCGTAAATGTTATTATTACCACTTGGTTCATAGCTCTGTCTGTATCCTGATGGCCTGGCCATCAGCCAATATTTGGGTACTGGCATAGAAAACGCACACTGTTTTATCAAAGTTTGCTGTTATAAAATTTAGGAAATCATTTTGAAATAAGAAATCTCTCTTCATAATGCAAAACTTTTGATTCCTAGTCTGGGTATGGCTTTCAGTTGGTCCTTTTTTGTTTCGTCATCTGTTCAGGTTTGTATCAGGATTTGGATTATCTAAATTTTGGCCTCGTTCATCATTGAATAGATTTAATTGTTGAAAAGCACATCATTGCAGTAAAATTGTCACGTTAATGTTATTTAAGAAAAGCCTTGCGGTGAGTTATTGGCATACTCTGGATTCATTTATTTTCATGGTAAAAAAATTTTCGCGGATTGAGGAAAAATCGTTTTTCGTAGACGATTAATTTCGTGTTTTTTTCAAGAACTTGCATGCGAACCTATAAAAGATGTGAAACTTCGTTGAAATTCAAATTCATGGTTCACCTTTACCCAGGAAATCCACAAAAATTGGTATCTCACAAATAAAAAATGAATCCACAGTATTTGATCAAATGCTCCGCTAGGCGCAGCTTGATAAGACCGCAAAGGTCGAACCCTGGACAGGCAAGTAGGGACACTACATTCAAGCTTGATACAGCTCTGACTTTGGATTGTGATTTGATATCTAACACAGCATAGGTTTCTGACACAGAATGAATGTAGTCAAAGAACTAAAAAAAATTTTAAATTGGACTTTACCTATCATGGTCCAATATCCAAAATATAAATGCACGGTTAGATTCAGTATATCCAAGTACACCAAGAATTCAATTTATCTATTTATTAATGGACAATATTAGCTAAGTTTTAAGAGGGGTTTGCTTCATAAAAAAGATATGTATATATATCATTCTGAAAATAAGTTCAAACAGAATAACAAACAAACCTACCAGGAAGTTTACAAAAAAGAATGAAAAAAAAACCAATTTCAAAATATCATTCATCATTAGTACAATGAACTAAAATGTGAAATTGGATATTAACCTTTTATGGTCCAATATCAAAAATCTAAATACATGGTTAGATTCAGCATATCAAAGAACCCCTTGAATTCAATTTTTGGTGAAATCAAATAAAGTTTAATGTATGACCCTGTGGACCTCAAGGTGGACCAATGTGATAATGGGGCCCAAAATCCAAAATCTAAATACGCCGTTAGATTCAGCGTATAAAGAAACCATAAATTAAATTTTTGTTAAAAAAAAAATATGTATATATATATATCATTCTGAAAATTAATTTAAACAGAATAACAAACAAACCTTCCAGGAAGAATAACAAACAAATCTACCGTCATTATACTGGATACCAAAACTTCACAAAACTTCGTATTAAGAACGATACATAGCTGGGTCATCAAGATGTTCGACTAAACATCTTTCTGAAGTGTTGACTACTATTCTTTCTACAGTAAAAGATAGCCTTCAAAAATATTGTGATGAGATATATTCAACCAGTGGTGTCAATCAGATGTGAATTCTCAAAAATTCTAAAGATCTACTTCTAATCTCAAATCACAATCTCTGCAATTTTGCAGCAACATTAAGACCTTTGATTTTTCTACGCTTTACACTACTATTCCTCATGCTCACTTGAAAGATCGACTTCACCAACTCATTAAACAGAGCTTTTTCTATAAAAATGGAAATCCTAGATATAAATTTCTTGTTTTGGGTCATAATAATTCTTATTTTGTGAAGAACCACACTGATTCTATCAGAAAATACAGTGAAGATGGTATTATCAAAATGCTGGAATTTTTAATCGACAATAGATTTGTTGAGTTTGGAGGATTGATATTTCAACAGCAGTCGGTATTCGAATGGGTACTAATTGTGCATCCCTTCTGGCTGACTTGTTTTTGTACTCGTATGAAGCAGAATTCATTCAGAACCTTCTAAACGACAAAAAGAAAAAGCACCTTGCAAATTACTTTAATTTTACTTTCAGATATATTGATGATTTCCTATCACTAAATAACCCATATTTCAGTCAGTACTTGCATCTCATATATCCCAGTGAACTTGAAATTAAGGATACTAATGATACAAGAAGGACTGCTTCATACCTTGATCTTTTCCTCAATATTTACACAGATGGACGACTTCACACTAAAGTCTATGACAAACGGGATGATTTCAACTTCCCAATTATCATTTTCCCATTTCTCAGCAGTAACATACCCTCTGCTGCGTCGTATGGTGTTTACATATCTCAATTGATACGTTATGCTCGTAAATATTCACACTATACTGACTTCATATACAGGAGTGTGCTCCTTACGCAGAAACTGCTCCAACAGAGTTATGATCAGGAAAGATTAAAGATTACACTCCGTAAATTTTATGGACACCATCACGAATTGGTTGATCTATACGATGTGTCTGTGTCTAAACTTACTAATGACATTTTTACCACGTCTAAGATTGTGGTTTAACATCTATGTTGTCTGTCTGCTAAGTACCGAACGTGACCTATTCCCGAATATGACTGTTATACCGAGTGTGAATTTGCATTGCCATACGAAGTGTCTCGGTATTTTGTACATCCAACATTCATGTATTTATTTTTGATGTTTCTGTTATGGTTTCGGCTGAAAAATGTGTTATGTCTTATCGTTTGTTATCCAAATAATTATAAAACTGCCTTTCAATACCATCATTGTCATATTCCCGAATATGACTGTTATACCGACTGTAAATTTGCATTGCTATACGACGTGTCCCGGTATTTTTTACATCCAACATTCATGTATTTATTTTTGATGTTTCTGTTATGGTTTCGGTTGAAAAATGTGTTATGTCTTATCGTTTGTTATCCAAATAATTATAAAAACTGCCTTTCAATACCATCATTGTCATATTCCCGAATATGACTGTTATACCGACTGTAAATTTGCATTGCTATACGACGTGTCCCGGTATATTTTCTACATCCAACATTCATGTATTTATTTTTGATGTTTCTGTTATGGTTTCGGTTGGATAGATTGGTTTGTAGTCCAAATAATTATAAAATTGCCTTTCAATACCATCATTGTTATGAAAATTGTTTGGACGAGTTTTGTGAAAATAATTTTATAAAGTTCGAGATTGCATGTTAGTTACGTAAGCGCGTCACTGTTTTCGATATCTTTTGGTGTCTGTCGTTGATGGAATATGTTCGTTGTTGTTCTGCAGTTTGCATGTTGTGTGGGTATAATATTATTTGCTTGTGCGTTTCTCTGTGATGAATGTTTTTACGTGTGTTTGTGCTGTATTTCTGTCACGTAATGTTGTCATTTTAGCGATCTTTTTTGAAATTGTCATAAATAAACTCATCATTTAGCGGGAGGTTTGGCTAGCCATTAAACCAGTTTCAACCCAACATGTTTTCTTAAAATGTCCTGCACCAAGTCAGGAATATGGCAGTTGTTATCAAATAGTTCGTTTCTATGTATGTTGGCGTTTGTTTTTGTTGCACTTCAGTGTTCTTGTTGTTCCTTTGTTTTCCTCTTATAGTTGATGTGTTTCCCTCGGTTTTAGTTTGTAACCCGGATTTTTTTCTCTCAATCGATTTACGACTTTTGAACACCGGTATACTACTGTTGCCTTTATTCAAATCAATCAAGTTTAATTTTGGACCCCGATTTTGACCAACTTGAAAACTGCGCCAAAAATTAAAAAAATTATACATGTTTAGATTCAGCATATCAAAAAAACCCTTAAATTCAATTTTTGTTGAAATCAAACAAAGTTTACTTTTGGATCCTTTGGATCTCAATGTGGACCAATTCAAAAACGGGACCCAAAATCCAAAATCTAAATACACGGTTAGATTCAGCATATAAAAGAACCCCAAGAATTCAAGACTTGGAATTAAACCCCATTGAAATTGGTCAAGAATAAACAATTTATACAAAGCATTAGAAAAGTACTATTTTTGGCCCCTTTTTCCTAAATGGTTAGGACCATAACCCCCAAAATCAATCCCAACCTTCGGTTTATGGCATGGAACCTTGTGGTACAATTTCATTGAGATCCACAGACTTATACTCAAGTTATTGTTATAGTTTTTGGTCCCTTTTTTACCTCTAATTCCTAAACAGTTTGGGCCATAACCCCCAAAGTCAATACCAACTTTCCCTTTGAAGTATGTAACCTTGTGATACAATTTCACAGAGATCCATACACTTACACACAAGTTATTGTCCCAAAACAAGAAAAATGCTTGTTTTTGGCCCTTTTTTGGCCCTTCATTCCTACACAGGACAATAACCCCCAAAATAAATCTGATACTCAAGTTATTGTCTGGAACTAAATGTCTTCGGACCACTACGACGACGACGCTGACAACGTCATAATCATTATACTACCGCAAAAATTTTGCAGTCGTATAAACAAAGTGTGAGAAATTCACATGGTTATCAATGAACAGTTTGTACTAAATTTAAATCAACTTCTTTCACAAGCATAAGATAGAGAGAGAATACTATCATAATATATAAGCCTTTGTTTTGCATGATTATTTCAAATCATAAATTATAATATGCTATAAGTTTACAGGAACTATACATGCAGATGTATTTTTCTAAATTGAGGGCAATAAGACTCCACTTATTTTCATTTATAGGCAAACTTCATGTGAAAAGTTGGTTGTAGATGATTAACATGGTGTTTATACTTTCTTCAAGTAATTCAAACTTCGAGATAATACTAGGGTTTTCAATAATATAAATTAAGAATTTGGCAGCATCTTAGAATCTGGAGTGCTCCTAATTAAGCACTATTTGCTGTTTAAAAATAGATAACAAAGTATAAAGAAATGTGGCATATTTTATTTATCATTCCATTAAAACTCTTCAACAGTAGAAAACACTCAAATTTCTTGACTAAAATCTATAAACTAAGCACCAAAATTTACAGTTTTTTTTAAGTAGAAAGTGTAAAAATTATTTCAGATCATTTAAGACATTCCTTGGAATGTAACAAGATTTGTATTATCTAATACCTATGGTAAAACAAACTAAATGTACAACTATCTCTTTATAATATCAAGATACACAACCATCAGAAATAAAGTATTAAGAAATAATACAAGTTAGATGACATAGTGGCATTATCCTGTGCAAAGTACTTTTGAAGAAGGTTTTTTTTTTAACAAACACTTAAAGACCTAATGTTTCCAAAATAATCCATCAAGAGTATTTCCCTCCATTAATTATCATATATCTATCTTCCAAACTCCATTATATGTAGGGACAGGAAACTTTCACCACTTTCTTGTGAACTATCTTTATATAGAACAATTAACTGGGTATATAAAATAATTCATCATAGATATATATATTTCTCTAATTCTTTGGCAATTTAACCCTTTCCAGACCCATCATATAAATTTTTTTTTAAATTTATCAACATGTGGTTGCCGATGATCTCAGAACATGATTGGATGAGTTTAAGGGTCATAACCTTTATCAGCTCTCTGGATGAATAAAATTTGTGCTAACAGGTGTTAATGAAATTGACAACTTTGTGGAATGTGGAAGGCACTCGAAGGGGATTTTCCTTTATCAAAAACGAAAATCTATTTGATAATCATTAAAGAAACAGATTCTTACATAGTAACTCATGGATTATCGGATTTATCTAATCTCGATAGATAAATTATCAATTTTAAAGCTAGGCGAGGACTTTAAAATTTGATTATTTAACTATCTCAATTGGATAAATCCGATAATCCACTGGTACCAATGTAAGCATCTATATATATATATATCATTTGTTGAATCATACTTTTACCAAAGAAATCTGTATCTCTAAATTGCTAAATAATAAACCATGACATGGACATTTTGGACAAAAGCTGTAAATTGTTCTACCAATTTGTTTGTTCGTTGCTGTTTTTTACCAGAACAATAATTACTTACTCCTTTATCATATAATGTACCATTTAATAGATATAATCCGCTTTTATGCAATATATAAGGTTTTGAGAAAAGATGCATGTATTTGGACAACAGGTTAATGTATGTGCAAGTTAGAGTCGGTAAATCTCTGTATAACAAAATATGTCTGGAACTAGTTGCTAGGAGTTTTTTTTTGCTTTGATCAACATTGTTACAAGCATCAATAGAGCTGTTCAACATACATCGGATGAGTATTAAATACAGATATTTTCTGGAATTGACTGACTCAAAACAAACTATAACTAATAACAAAATTAGCCAATAACAATCTTCACTTTCTGTACATCATCCTTATCACAAAAAGACTTCAAAAATTCTTATTCCTCAATTTATGTAGAATATAGAGCAAGCTAATCCTTACATAAAGAACAAAACAATACTTAACATGTACTATTTTATTTATGCAAAACTCTTTATACTAAGAGAAGCATTTTCTAGATATCTTGTATAATTTTCCAAATATAAATGACTTTGTGTACATATTAATACATATGACATTTATTTGTTATGATCTGGTGCATCATAAACAATGCTTAAATTATCATGAACCATTAAAAAAGTATACAAAAATATGAAAACATATGAAATTTCATGAGTATTCTTAATAAATTTGTAACTTTACTGGTTTGTGACAATTTAATTGATAAACTCTATTTAATAATGGTAAAAAATGTATAATATATATTTGAAAATAAATCAACTTTATTCTCTAAAAGTTCACTTAGAAGTAGGTTTTATAGAAGCAAAAAATTTAACAACTGAATCTACCCTAACACAAATACTAAGTGGGCAATAAAAATCATAAATTGAATAAAACCAGACAACTCCATGGCAAAAAAACAAAATTATGTAAAGTTTTTAGTCAATTTAATCTTTAATTTCTCGCTACACACACACAGTCAGTGTACCCTAAGGGCAATTGTAGTTTACTTATCTCTATGGCACATTTTGATGGCTTTCTATATCTCATAAGTATAAGTATAGGATACTGCAACTCCTCTTTAATGATCACCACTTAGTCGACACAGAGTTGTCAAAATCATATAAACTAGCTACATTATATCTATACAGATACCAGTTATCTTTTATTTAATAATGAACTAACCAGCTGACTTGTATTTGTAAAGAAAACTATAATTCTAAAATGATTAAATTGTTTATGCAGGCAATATGTTATTTTGTATGTTAAATATTCGGGGGGAAAAGTGCTTCTGCATCTTAACACTGGCAAGATTTCATTCTAATTAACATAAAAATGTAGGATTAAATATGGAATGATCAATTTTTCGAATAGTATATTTTTCTTATGTGGCTAAATGCAATGCATATATATGAAATAACTATTTATAATTACCACCTTATGTAAAATTATAGAAATATAATCAATTAAACTGAAAAACATGAAAAGAAATAAAAATAAATGAAACCAATAAAACATTAAAAATAGCAAAAAGAAAAACGTTAATAACCCGGTACTATATCAAAAAACCGTACTAACCTAAAAAAAAATCAATTCCACATATATTCAAATATTTTCTGTATTCCTGAATACACTAGAACACTTGGTCTGTATTTTTTGCAAGCAAAATACACATGGTAACAAATTCATTTTTAAAATAAACAAATTTGATCTGCTGAAAATATACAATAATCCTTTATAAATACAAGCCAAATATACTGTATAAATATAAAAATATCAATAAAAATGATGATAGAGGAGTCTTTTGTTAATGATCCGACTAGATAACATTACTAATGGATGACAGATGTTTGGAATCATGTGAAGATATTTAGCAATTGTGAAAGTACCATTCAATGGTTTATGATTAAACAAAATAACTACAATTTCCAAATAAGAAATTCCACTGATAACCGTTTTTTTTATTCTATTGTAAGTTTTTGACCAGGGTAGAAAGGGGGAAGTGGGTTCACAGTGTATAATTTTGTTTTCCATATCATGTTTATTTCCAGAAGCATGGGAGACAAGATGGATAGATATATATATATCTAAGTAATACAATTTTTTTTTTGATAAAGTTTAACTAAAATAAAATTTATTTGCATGATAAGAATTATTAAAATTTTATATATTCACTATGGAAAGCAAATAAAACAAAATTAAATGACAAACTGGTACCTACTCTAAGGATTGGTTATTACTTGTATGTTAAATAACAAAGTTTTAATGATCAAAATGATACAAAATTATGAACAATCTGTAAATTTATATGAAAAAATATGACTTTCACTCACAACATTTTTTGAAATGAACATATAAAAAATAACACAACCAATTGATTTATAGGAATGTTCAATCACAACACATCTTGTAACAAAGACAAAAAAATATCAACCATTGTATAATACTAGATTTCAAATTAATTGTAGTACTTCATGATTGTTAAACTTTATTTAGGGTAAGTACAATGCTTAATAAGTTACTGATATTGGTTTCAAAATATTGACCAATCAGATCTCACAACGCTTTAATGGTTACAGATATTGGTTTCTAAATATTGACCAATCAGATCTCACAACGCTTTAATGGTTACAGATATTGGTTTCAAAATATTGACCAATCAGATCTCACAACGCTTTATTGAGTACAGATATTGATTTCAAAATATTGACCAATAAGATCTCACTAGGCTTTAATGGTTACCAATATTGGTTTCAAAATATTGACCAATCAGATCTCACAACGTTTTAATGGTTACAGATATAGGTTTCAAAATATTGACCAATCAGATCTCACTAGGCTTTATTGGTTACAGATATTGGTTTCAAAATATTGACCAATAAGATCTCACAACGCTTTATTGGTTACAGATATTGGTTTCAAAATATTGACCAATAAGATCTCACAACGCTTTAATGGTTACCAATATTTGTTTCAAAATATTGACCAATCAGATCTCACAACACTTTATTGGTAACAGATATTGGTTTCAAAATATTGACCAATCAGATCTCACAACGCTTTATTGGTTACAGATATTGGTTTCAAAATATTGACCAATCAGATCTCACAATGGTTTAATGGTAACCAATATTGGTTTCAAAATATTGACCAATCAGATCTCACAATGGTTTAATGGTAACCAATATTGGTTTCAAAATATTGACAAATCAGATCTTTAAATAGATAATAGAACATTTTGAACCTTAAATAGGTGAAATATAACAGAATATTCTCAGATAAGTAAATTTGTGTTAGATAGTGGTTTAATTTTTATCTGCAAAAGGTATGTATTATATATGAAATTAATCATACAATTTACAGTTACAGTTTTGAGTAAGAGTAAACAAAAGGTAATGATCATTTTTTCATTCATATAGATATTCTCCCTGTTTCAGTCAAACTAAATAAATTCTTCATAAATGAAAATCCAATCCAAAAATACTTGATTATGCTACTTCCTATATTGTAGTGGGTAACAGAACTTTACCTTTAATTCTTCACTATTTAAAAGAAAGAAATATAAAATAGATTGGTAAATCTTCACAGAAATATAAAATATATGTCAAACCTAAAGATACTGAAAATAATACAGCACTTAAATGAAAATCTCACAATCATGAACGAACACATCTAAGTTTATTGAAAAAAACATCAGTAATTATATTGGGTCTAATGACTTTTGGAAACTGAACAAAAAAACAAAAAAAAATTGTTCTTCAATTTGTAACAAACATATTCTTACAAAAAGTAATTTATTGTTAAATGGCTTCAGCTATAAATTTCACAAAAAGTAATAAACTGGAAATCTGGAGTAATATAACAATGTAATATATCACATTATTTCTTTTCTTACTGAAATAATAAATAGGTCTGTTATCAAAAAGATGAGTTAATAACACATCAAAAGTGTGCAGAAAACTATAAAATGTGAATCTGCAGAGCAATTTTTAAAACTTCTATCACAAATTTTGTTCATTTTTATCCTTAAATAGTTCAAATTATTTTAAAGAATAAAACATTTGATGAAGGGTTTTTGAATGAAAGGTTTTGTTTCAATTGAGTGTTTCACCAATAAAAATAATTAACAGTCCAAATATACACATTTTGATTTGCATAAATAATGTTTAACAGACAACTGAATAATAACAAATAAAATCACAGATCTATTTCATGTAATATCATGTAATAAAATGTGGACACAGAAAAATGTCTCACATTATGCTAATGCCATGACAGACCAAATGTCATTGACCTGAATACAACCAGATCTTCTTAAACTGGTCTGATCATAGGAAGCAGGACAACCTATAAACATGTATCATCATACAATCGTTATAAATGTAAATATTAATAGTTAAGTACATCTACTTTATTTCATAAAATAAAGTTTTCATTGTGGCACATTTGCAATTATCATGATTTGGCCATGGTTACTTTCATGACTTTCATCTATTTACTTTTGTATTAGTACAATAAATCTCTTAAAAAATCAATGTTAATCATCATAGATTAACTAACTGAATAGTAGGGTTTTCTAACTAACACGCCAATACTGAAGGTAATCCATTTTTTTGAGTTTACAGCATGCATGTGTTTTTGTTTTGAATCTTTACATTGTTTCACTTAATAAAATAAAGGTATAATGGGAGTATTCTGCAAATAATCATAAATGATTGATCCACATTTTTACTGAAATCAGCAAATTTTTCAAGTTCAATTTAGTTATGGGCTTTTCAATTTGATTTTATTTGATGGTAACAACTTTGATATAAATACAAAAGTTTTTTGAATGATTAAAAAAAAATTTTTTTTAAATTAGGCAGATAACCTGTATTATTTATCATTAGATTATGATAGACAATTATCTAAATTTTTATATTCGTTTTGTAGCAAGATGAATAGAACAGTGACCATACTTTTTTTCTGAATTTTAGGAGCATTTTTGAAGAGCTATATTCTCACATCTATATCACAAAATTATATCATTTAGTTTCCTTTCTATTCACATTGTAGTGTTTTTTTTTTTGTGTAAAATACTTACAAAATATGAGAATTGTAGCTTGTATGCGAACTCAGTGATCTTTTCCAATCATTGTATTTTTTTGTAATATACCATTAAATTAACTACAATTTGGTAGTCTTCAAAATTAAATCATTGTTTATTTTCACTCCCAGACATTCCATATAAAAAATGGAGCACAGGCTAGAAAGTTTACTAACGAATGCATGGTTTTTGCTGAAAGTTGCACCAAATCAAACTCAGCTGAGACAGAATATATCCTCATTCATGACACTTGGTTAACTGATTACAATTTTTACATTGAACAATAAACAATGATAGTTATTACCATCCATACGATAAGTCAGGCCAAACTCTTTACCATCTTACAACAAAAATTAGATGTGAGTGTAAGAATATTATTAAAACTGCTAATACAATGGTCTATATAATAGGTAACTATTGAACAAGCAGATAACTTAAAGGTCTAAGGAATTTTTAGGCCCTAGCAAATCTGTAAACCTATTACATATTTATTCTATTGGACAACAAACTTGTGATCAATGAATTGAATAGAAAAACTTGTCTAAATACAGCTGTGCACCAATGCCCTCTGTTACTTGTATTATAAAACAATACAACTATAGATTTTAAATTATTGACATATACACATGGGTTCTGTATAAATCTAATGTGTTAACACATACACATGGGTTCTGTATAAATCTAATGTGTTGACATATACACATGGGTTCTGTATAAATCTAATGATAAAAATCCATGAAAAATGTTTTTGCCAGGTTACATCTTAGAAGAGGCTCTCAACTTATTTAAATCTGGTTCCATTTTGCAGTATCCTGGGTGTAGCCTCCATTACCCTGACTAACAAACTATCTATATAACCCTCCAAGTCTTTAACATACTGGTCCTTCCTAATTAACTGGGCTTTGTGTTGTATTACTATTCTAATCAACTCCTGAAGAACAACAAAGAAATCTAAATTTACTTATAGATGTCTTTTTTTGTTTTATTGCTGTCTAGTTTAGTTGCTATCTCACTGATATTTCCTATGATTGACACTAATATAGGGGAGACAATAGTTTAGTTGCTATCTCACTGATATTTCCTATGATTGACACTAATGTAGGGGAGACAATAGTTTAGTTGCTATCTCACTGATATTTCCTATGATTGAAACTAATGTAGGGGAGACAATAGTTTAGTTGCTATCTCACTGATATTTCCTATGATTGACACTAATATAGGGGAGACAATAGTTTAGTTGCTATCTCACTGATATTTCCTATGATTGACACTAATATAGGGGAGACAATAGTTTAGTTGCTATCTCACTGATATTTCCTATGATTGACACTAATGTAGGGGAGACAATAGTTTAGTTGCTATCTCACTGATATTTCCTATGATTGACACTCACTGATATTTCCTATGATTGACACTAATATAGGGGAGACAATCTCACTGATATTTCCTATGATTGACACTAATATAGGGGAGACAATCAATCTGTTATTGATTTTCACACAAGTCAACATGTTTAAAACATCATTGATAAACATGATAAATGTATGCAGTTGGTTTAATAGGTAGTGGCTGTCTTTAGTTTTATCTTATTAGACACGAGTGGGTTTTTTTTTTTGTTCTTTCGAAAATATGGTCTTGATAGCCAATCTTTAGTAGTATCTGTTAAATTCATTCACATCTTGTCTGTACTTTAGAGTTTGACATATGTTATAGACATATGTCTATTGTTGAAGATAGTACTTTGACCACTAGAAGTCTTTTGTTTCTTTACATATATCCATATCTCCTTTTATTGATAATTGTGAAATTGCATTTTTTATGCTTACTTTTTGTTTAGATCTAGTTAAGTCTGAATTCAAATTTTTTCCCATAAAATTGAGTATACAGTACTCCACCATAAGTATTCGTAAATACAACAACGACGGTTACGTCACGGAAGAGTAAACAAGTTTTTGCTGTCGTCTCCATGTCACAATCGGGATGACAATGAATCTATATATAGATTGTTCTGTAGAAAAACATGTGGTTGTCATGTGACATGTGCATGATGACGTCAGAGTGGTCTGCACTCACGTTGTAGCTAATGTAAACAAAATGGGTCGCAAGGGAAAAGAACTGACATCTGATCAGAAAAGTCGTCTCGCTGCATTAAATGATGCAGGTTACAGAAAAAGTGATATTGTCAAATTGACAGAATCAAACAGAGTACGTTTACAGTTTTTTGAAGAGGTATGAACATAGGGGTGATATAGAAAACATTCGGAGATCAGGCAGACCAAAATCCTTTCATGACCGGGACATGAGAAAACTTTCCCGTTGTGTGAAAAAACATCGCCGTAAATCTTTATCTGAAATTACTATTATTTTTAATGAGAGTATTGATCTACCTTTCTCAAAAAGAACTGTTCAACGTAAATTACATTCTGATGGGTTCCACAAGTGGTCAGTAAAGAAGAAAATTCGTATCCGTGAAGTCAACAAGAAAAAACGAGTGGCATATTGCAGAGGAAATTTACATAAAACTGTTAATGCACACTGGAGCAAAGTAATTTTCAGCGATGAGTGCAAGGTAGTCATTGGGCAGGATTCTCGTGTCAGTATCTGGAGAAAGGTCGGAGAAGAGTGGTTGACGGATTGTATTTGCCCTCCATCTCAGTGCAAGTATAGTTTAATGATCTGGGGATGTATTACTTACCATGGTGTCGGAACTATAACTGTTGTTGAAGGTAACATAAATGCCTTAAAATACATTGACATAATTGACAATAACGTGTGGCCAGTGGTTGTTCGTCATTTTCCAGATAATGACTACGTTTTTCAGGATGATAATGCCCCCGTCCATCGAGCCAGATCCGTTCAAGATTTTCGAAGGGAAACGGGTTTAAAAAGTATGAACTGGCCAGCTCAGAGTCCTGACCTCAATATTATTGAGAATTGTTGGTGGGTATTAAAAAGGGAACTGCAAAAACGAACTCAGAACATAAATAATACCAAAGACCTGGAACGTGAAATTCGTGACATATGGGACAATTTAACTGTAACTTACCTGAAATCGTTGTATAACAGCATTCCTAGGCGTAATGAGGAACAAAGGAAACATTACAAAGTATTAAGGTAGGATTTTTTTTATTTTGTTACTTGTTCAATAGTTCCAAGTTTTTTCATGTGTAGATTTACCTTGACTGGCGGCCATTTTGTTTTTACGAATACTTGTGGCGGACGACTGTAGTTGACAGGCTGTTTGCATAAAGCTTTTTATTCATTGTGAAATAGTACATTTTGATATTTATAAATGTTGATTGTGTACAATACTTTCATGTTGCACATTTGTATTATACTGCCTGTGCTTTATATTCAATAAAATACTTGATTTTGATTGGCTGAAACAAACTTACATCTTTAGTCATATGTCTATATACAGCTATAAGATCATTAGGTATTGACGACACCTCTCTGGCTTCTCTCATGAACTGTGGCCTCAGTGAATCTAATGTGTCTTCCAGTGAGTTCTGACGTCGTGGATAATCCAAACCCTGTACTGTATACCTTCTGTTACCTACACAATGATACATGGGAAGTTTGTTTATATACCTCCTACAAACTTTATATCAATCATGGATATATTTTTTATCATACAATCAGCCCTTTCACTATACAAAAAAGGTGTACAAATAATATTATGTTATAATCACACAGTATACAAATATAATCTACTGGTATCATGCTGCCATTATCAGTAAAAAGCATAATTCAATGACCTATTGGCAGTCAGCATCCAAGAAATGTTCATTTAAAAAAAGAGTGATTCTTTCATGTTCTTTCAGGTATTGCACAGGTTTAGTTGGTTTTGGTAAATAAATCACAAACTTTGATATTCTTTTTTCCACTACTTGAGGCTATAATGATACATAACAAGTGAAGCTGCGAGCTACTGCTCACTGATGATACCCCCACCTCAACTGGATAATTTTAATAGTGTAAAAATATGTAAGTGTTCGGTAAACAGGAAGTTGTTGAGTGATGAATCTGAAAACGGGTCACACGATATAGCTGACTTATATAAACCCTGAAACCAAATTTCAGAAATCCATATGATGTAGTTCCTGAGAAAGAAAATATTCATGGGACGGTCGGACAAACGGACAGATGGACGGACGGACAGACAGAGGTAAAACAGTATACCTCCACCTTTTTAAATAGTTGTGTTATTGGCCATGATATATCACATTACCTTAATTCTATATTAAAACCCAATTCTAATATTTCCAATATAATGAGCAAAGGAACATTAAACAGAATGATACAGCTAAGTAAAACATTAATAATGTTTACACTTAATAAAACTGTACTCTGTAAAATTCCCAGTCAAACGTATAAATGTTTTGATTTGCTTACCCATGCCTCTTGATCTTTCTTTCTTACTTCTCCGTCGTACATTACCATTGGTTGTTGGTTCTAGTTTATCAGGTGACAGACCAAAGGAAAAGTTTTCTTCTGGAGCGATTTTCTTCTTCGAACGACTGACCGATTCCTTTCTGTCCTCACCATTTATGTCTGTGTGAGATAACTTTTCGCTACTTGGCACTTCATTATGGTAAACTGGATCTCCACTCGTCTCTGGAAATGATGTCTCCTTAAATTCGTTGTCGTTACTGATACTTGTGTGACTAGAATTGATAGTGGCAATACCAGATTCAGGTGACAGATTATTTAAGTGACTAGATGAAGATTGTTGTTCTTCTAATTGTTCTAATTTAGGATCTGAAGGAAGTTTGCATTCTCCAACTGAATCAGATTTTCGTTTTACCGCTGGGAAATTAATATCAATGCTTCCTTCTGATTCTGAGTCACATGACTCTTGAATAGGTGCTGTGTATTCTTTTGCAGATTTGACTTTATTACTTTTCGGTTCCTCAATTGATTCAGAAGAATCTGACAGATGACCGCCTGTATTCATTGTTTTAAAAACTTCACTTTCTTTTCTAAAAATAGATTCTAAGTAACCTGGCTGTGATGACACAGCAGAATCAAGGTCATCCATTGATCTTCGACCCTGACCATATCGTTTACCCTTTGGATGTGGCAATGTTTGTGTGCCAAGGTATGAAGCTGGCAGTGACTGTCTGTTTCCAGGCTGGTTATATATCCTAATGTTGTCTGGACCTGGTAAAAGAAAACATAGAAACATTAGCTAAATATATCAAGGCTAGTTATATACCATATAAACATTGTCAATACCTAGTCAAATTTAACACATTAATATGTGTAAAAAATTTAATTTTTGATTGACAAATAGAAATATATTGACTGCTTCATTCCAATAGAATACAGATATACCTGTCGTTACCAAATACCTGTCTATTCTGAACACATACTAGAAAATATGAGGGATATTGTCACTGTTTCCTGACATATACCCAACATCTCCTTTTATACATATTTATTAACCTAACATTTTTAATCTCAACACCTATCTCAATATTTTTAAAAATCATCAGTTTACAAGAGTTTTATTTAGACATGCTCCACAGTAATAATGGTGCTGAATAGAGAATAAAAGAAGAATGTGTCTGAGGACACAAATGCCCCCGATCAAGCTACAAACAGAAGAACGGATGGGCGAACGGTCAAGGGTAACACTTAATGCCCGACGCCTACGGCGAGGGCATAAAAACTGTTTCCAACAACAGTTGTTGATATAACATAAAACACCCCATACTTTAGTCCTCTGATTTTCAATCCAACAAACAACTCAATCAATACTGCACCTTCTATGTGCATGGTAAAGCTATGTTTTTTTGTTTGGAAAAAGATCTAAAAGGAAAATATTGTTGTTTGGCATATAGCACTGATAATCTTTTTGGAAAAATAGTTTGAATTCTTTGTATCAACTATGTCAACAAAATGCTATACATGATCTGTCATATATTTAATTCTGTTCATCTAGTAAATATCTTCCAGTACAGTTAAATCTCCTGTAACATGTTATTAATGAGGAACAATTAGTAACAAAACACGGTACTGACCTTTGTCCATTTCTCCAGATCTACGTAATAGTAACAAAACAGGGTACTGACCTTTGTCCATTTCCCCAGATCTACGTAATAGTAACAAAACACGGTATTGACCTTTGTCCACTTCCCCAGATCTACGTAACAGTAACAAAACATGGTACTGACCTTTGTCCATTTCCCCAGATCTACGTAATAGTAACAAAACACGGTACTGACCTTTGTCCATTTCCCCAGACCTATGTAATAGTAAGAAAACACGGTACTGACCTTTGTCCATTTCCCCAGATCTACGTAATAGTAACAAAACACGGTACTGACCTTTGTCCATTTCCCCAGATCTACGTAATAGTAACAAAACATGGTACTGACCTTTGTCCATTTCCCCAGATCTACGTAATAGTAACAAAACACGGTACTGACCTTTGTCCATTTCCCCAGATCTACGTAATGACATACTACAAGCTCTTAATCGTTCATTCTGAAACAGACATTATATATCTTAATATCCATTGATACACTAAAATGTGTTATAAAAATCTGTCATATTGTTTCATAATTATTTTAGATATGAATAATGTTCACATTTTTAACAATTTATACATAGACAGGTTTTTCATGCAAAGAAATTAACATATACAAAGTGATCCTAGTGCTGAAACGTAAAAATGGATTATCTACAATTTTTTTCAACATCTTTTTACATTAATAAGAAACATTTATGGCAAAGTCAGAAGACAGATTTAGATAAGGATGCTTGAAAATTTCACACAAAAGTAAAGTAAGTAAAGAAGTAAGATAACAGCTAACACATGCACCATTCACAGATATACAAAGAATATACAGAAAAGCTAAGGCCTTTTATTTCATATTTTCATTGGACGAGATTAACCAAAAAATGTTCGCTAATAATTTTCAAATTACAGTAAAACCTGCAAACCTGAACTGTTGTGTTAGAAATTGTAGTGAATATTGTTTAGTAGCTTTACCTGCTTAAACTGAACACTTGTCTTCTTGAAATGTTTTTTTCTTTCTTTGTAAGAATGAATACAGAACACCAAAATTAACAAAAAATAAAGTTTTGTCTGCTTTTCTATGCAAAACTACCATGCAAAAAAATAAAATTAATAGCAAGAAAATAAAATACTCATTTTTTTCACAAATTTAAAGGGAATGTATGGGAAAAAAATAACTTAAAATTTTTTAAAAGTCATGAAGGAATATGGGAATTGTAAAAATATCTTGAAAGATGGTTAATGTAAGTAATATTGAATTGTCAAAATAAAAAAACATCCTTAGCAATATGATTCTCATTCCAACCCAGAAAAATATATTAAGAAAAATGAAAAAAACTGCAATGTTTAATTTCTTATTCCTACCAAATGTATATTTTTACAATACAAACTTTTAAAAACAGTTAATAGATTAATTACTCAAATTACTTAAATTGATTTTGTCTTCTAGTTTGGTGTCATCACATTTTGTCCAGCCTCTTTTCTTGTAGAAATAAAGCTTATAATCATAACAAGAGTTCACATGCCGAAATGTCTCACCTGCTTTACTGACCATTGATTTTATATTGAAAGTCTTAAAGATAAAGGTTTTACTACAAGTATCACATAAACTTAACATTTTTAAAGATCCATGACAATGAGGTCAAGGTCAGATAAATCCTGTAAGACAGACATGTACACCTTACAATTATTCCATACACCAAATATAGTTGACCTATGGCTTATGGTAAATGAAAAACAGACCAAAACACAAAAACTTAATATTGACCAATGAACCATGAAAATGAGTTCAAGTTCAGATGAAACCTGCCAGACTGACATGTATCCATTACAATCATTCCATACACCTCATATAGTTGACCTACTGCTTATAGTATCTGAGAAACGGACCTAATCAGGTAACTTTTACCTTGATCACTAATTCATGAAGTGAGGTCGAGGTCAGATGAACCCTGTCTGATGGACATGCAGACATTGCAAGGAACCCATATACCAAATATAGTTATATTATTACTCATAATAACAAGCAGTCACTAAATCATAAAAATGAGGTCAAGGACAGTGGACTTATGACAGACGGAAACTTCGTAACATCAGGTATCTGCATACAAGGTATGAAGCATCCAGGGTCAATCTTCTGAACTATAAAGCTTTATAGAAATAGTTTACGCCAGGGCCGCCGTATAGTAATCCTAATGTCTCGCATACTGCGACTTTTGTAGCAGGCAAGACGAAAATCAAGAACGAATGTAACTTTTTATATCAGTACTTTGAACTAAATATTTTGACTTCTACAAAAGATATCAAAATTTTAAGAAAATACCCCAAAAAAAAGGCATTGGTCAGGCCTAAACTTTCAAGGACAGTTTGGATGAGAATCTACACTTACATTTTATTTGGTTCTTTAATTTGCAATAGTATTTATTCTGTCATGCAAGTATAACATTCACCCTTTTCAAACTAATAATATGCATATTTTTTTTAAATATCAAGAAATTAAATCCTTCTTACGTTCATTAAGTAAAACTGAATGTGTGGTACTTTTCCATTTTACTTTCATGTTATAGTACTGCACCAATATTTGAAATTATCCAATATTAAGCTGCTGAAAACTTGAAGAAAAAATCTCAACCACCTATTGGTTAGTAATATATTGTTGTAGTTAAATCAAAGGACAAATTAGGAAGCCAATATTTCACACCAGGGAGTGAAAAGGAATGGCGACAGTGGCTATTCTACTAACCGCCTCTGGTTCATCCCAAATTGGTAGATTTATATCAAGGGCTGAAAAACTGGCCGCGTTTCCTTTAGATAATGCTGCACCCTGTTGATTTTCTGGTGAATTTTGATTGGATTGTGATTCAGCCTGGACAAATGATTATATTATGTTAAACATAAGCATTAGATACAAAGCACATAGTCATTCAAATATTCACATAAACACATATTATGGTAATGCCATGTTTTTTCCAAATCCAAAATATTTAATGACAATGACAGCCTATCAGATTTTATTTTTCTATTTTAAAAAACAAATAAAATAAAGGGACAATCAAAATACTTGATCAATATTTTTCTATATTGAAATCGAAAGAATGTGGCATTCAATAGTGCTATACATGATTACATTAAATTACAATTTTTCAATATACAAGATAGTACTAAGCTACATTAAATTTGAAGAGTGAATGTACATGAACTTTAACCCGTGAATACAATAATTATAGTGTTGACAGTGATAGATGGACATACTGTGGATTCATTATTATTCGTTGAATACCAATTTTCGTGGTTTTCGTGGATACAGGTGAACCACGAATTTAAATATTCAACGAATTACAAATTTTCTATCAGGTTGTATGCAGAATATGGTAAAACCACGAAATTAAATATCCACGAAAAGGCAAGTTTTCCGTAATCCACGAAAATTGGTACCCACGAAAATAAATGAATCCACAGTAAATGATTCTTTCAACTTTGCACAAGCAAATTTTCATCACATGAATTTCTTCCCTTTCCAATTAAACAAGTAATCAGAATTAAAACAATGCTAAAAATAGTGAAGTTACTGATACCTTTAATTTATAATCAAGATAATGAAAAACAGCCAAGGAAGTGTTATGAATATAACTGCTGATCATACATTTTAAAACCTCCACCTAGTTTTTTTAATAAGCTGTACATGGGTTTAACACAACTTGTAGATTTACCATTTTAACTGATGGGATATTCTGGACTGAATATGGAACTCGATGGGAAAAGGTTAATATAGGCAAAAGGCAATATTCCAAATAAAATTTGATGCTGTGTTTTGGTTAAGTGGCATAAACAAATTCTGCATCTATCATATAAACAATGTACATGCACTCTACAGGAATGTTATCATGGGATATGTGAGTTCTAACATATAAATAAACATTTTAATTGGTAGATATATAAGGTGTAGAGAATAGGCGTATAAATAAAGATAAATTATGTTTTGTTTAATGTTGTTCCAGAAATGAATGTATAAAAATGTTTGTGAGCTTTTTATTTAATCTAACCATACATGAAATGTCATGATTGTCATCTGATTATTTTCATCATTTTTTTTATCACAACCACAATTCATCAAATCTTATGTCTTTCAGTTCCTCTCCACATTATTAATTTCTGGAAGTTCTGATATGCCTCTCCCCAAAAATATAATAATTTCTGGAAGTTCTGATGTGCCCCTCCCCAAAAATAATTTCTGGAAGAAACCCTCAATGGATACATAATTAATCATGACACAAGATCTAGATTATATCTGAAGTTAAATATAAAATTAAAACACCAATATTACGAGATAGAAAAATATATCAAATTATTCCATTTCCATCAGTAACAGAAAAAAGGAAAGTTTAAATGAAAAAAAATCTTACAAGAAAGGCTGGCTTAGCTTTTTTAAAAGAGATATTAAATTTAATTTAATCCAAAATGTAAACTTTGATAAGAGAATCATGCATATAACTGAATATATTTATATATGATCTTCATTTTTCTTGTCATGCATGGGTCATACCATATCATCTTTAACATCATCTTTATAAACCTTATCCTCCTAAACAGATCAGTATGACTATTAGCTCTATGTCCATACATTAGTAGAATGAATGTAATTTGGGAAAGCATCAAATTTTGATTTGAAATACCATAATTTGATTTACAGGGTTAATAACAATTTTTTTGTTTTTCACAGTAATTGTTTCAGCCACAACTTTATATTAAGGACACTCGATTGCAATGGAAAACTTATCATATTTATAAACAGGTGTGTTTTATAAAGGTGTACATGAAAGTGACTTTACCATTTATATTTTGTACCATCAAAATGACTTCCGGTTTGACTGTACATGGTGTACTTATTTATCAATAGAAACTTAGTCTATAGAATATTTAAATACCATTGCTAAGTGTTACATTAAGATGTCTTCAAATGTTCTGACCATTCTGCACATTTGAAGACATCTAGTTGCAGATATAGTATTAACTCAGGGGTCTAAATCAGTGTGGGTCTGAGGTTTAGTACTGGTCTTTTCTGGTAGGGGACTTTTCATTTTTGAATTATAAAAGTAAAAGATCTACAATTAGGCTTTATACAGAACTTTGACTTTCTTAAAAAGGACTCTTCAATTGAAAATTCTAATGGTCCTGGCCCTTTCATTATTTAAAGCAAAATTTAAAACCTTTTAGATCTCTTTTGTAAGCATAAATTTACAATATAATTTGTTTATATATTCATAAACATATGGGAGGTTAATAATACACTTTCCTGCACAAAACTGTTATATTTTATAGGACAACTTTTCAGTACAGAATATCCTTTCTATTAAAGGTCACTAGCCATGTCTATATTACATATTAAGAATGTTTAGATTTTACATTAGTGGCATTTAGAACAATATTCAACCTATATATTTGTGTGTGTGTGTGTCAAATTAAATATGTTTAGGTCTATACCTTTTCATTACATGAAATCCATTTACCTTTCGCACAAATTAAATATGTTTAGGTCTATACCTTTTCATTACATGAAATCCATTTACCTTTCGAACATTGGCAATCTCGAAGAAAATTTAATTCTTTTTTACGTCAAATAGGTGTGTTACCTTTCAAAACTTATGTGTGTGTATTTTTCTTGAGTGAAAGAAATCAAAACAGATAGACTGGTATTAAAAAATTAGTCACAAACTAACAAATGTTAATTAAAATGTGCACTAAACTCTAAATTACATTTCCTTTGTATCTCACCTGAATAGCACTAGTTGTTTGGAAAGCTGATGGGTCTTTAGCAGGTGGGGTGGAGAAATGGGGGTCTCTCAGTGACTTACTTCTAACAAACTTAAATTTATCTCCAACCTTTTGTCCTGAAATTACAATTTGTATGTAAATGTGAGATAAACATTTCTATCATTCTCCCTGAAATTTATCTCCAACCTTTTGTCCTGAAATTATAATCTATATGTAAATGTGAGATAAGCATTCTCCTTGAAATTTATCTCCAACCTTTTGTCCTGAAATTATAATTTATATGTAAATATGAGATAAGCATTTCTAGCATTCTCCCTGAAATTTATCTCCAACCTTTTGTCCTGAAATTATTATTTATATGTAAATGTGAGATAAGCATTTCTAGCATTCTCCCTGAAATTTATCTCCAACCTTTTGTCCTGAAATTATAATCTATATGTAAATGTGAGATAAGCATTTCTATCATTCTCCCTGAAATTTATCTCCAACCATATGTCCTGAAAGTATCATATATAACATGTATAAATAAATGAGAGACAAACATTTCTAGCATTCTCACTGAATTTTATTCCCAACTTAAGGTTATGGCAGCAAAAAAGATTCCATATTAGGAAAGGACTGACAAGTAACGAAGTCATATATATATACTTACATATTTTATTTAACCTTCAAATACCCTACAAACACTTTCATCCCATTGACTTTTTACAATGAAAGAATCTCTAGCATTACAAGTATAAGATAAGGAGATGTGGCATGTCTAGTGAGCAAGCTCAGACACCCAAAGCCCCTCATAAAGGAAAAAAAATTTCTAGTGCACTGATGGTATAGTTAATTTCAGGCAAGATTCTTTTCTGTCATGATTTAATAGAGTACTATTACACCAATAAGAGTTACAATCTATAAGAAGTGATAGTGATGTATCTTTAAAAGCCTCCCTCCCCAAAAAATGATCCCCCTATTTAAAAATTTTATGATTATTAGAGGCAGAAGGCTATTAAAATTTTGCACAGTTGTTCAGCATATTCTGTTTTGGTGAAAATAACACAATTTGTTTTTGAAAACACTTAGTTTTTGTTTAAAAAATTACAAATTTTGAAAAAAAGTTTTTGTAAATGCAAAAACTCCAAAAGATTGACATTTTGCACAATTGTTGTGCATTTTATGTAGATGTTCATGTAGTTTTTGATGAAAATTGGCCCATTGATTTTGGAAATCTTAATTTTTATGTATAAAAAATCACAAAGTATCAAAAACATATCATGGTGCTAGGATTTAAATCAAAACTAATTTGCTTGTATAATATTCTATTCAAAATAAATTAACTGGTGTCAAAAATTGATTTCTGTGAAGATTTGGTGGTAAAATGGTGGTTAGTTTTCGTTAAAAAAATCATATTTTGAGAGATACTTCCTTCTGTGATAGTATTGCAATGAAAACTGATGTATATATATATAGATCTATAATATGTTATTCCAAATTGATTCCAATATCAAATTTGCAGTAAAAACCTACTTTTGTTCAAAAATTATATCAAATTTTGAGAAGCATCTGTTTAACCTAGATTGCAACAAAAATTGATATCTAGGTAAAACATCCTTTTCTTAATTGATTCCAAGTGTCAATTTTAGAGTAAAAACTTGGTATTTGTAAAAAATCAAAGATTTTGAGAAACCTCTTTTTGTAGCTAGGATTTCAATGCAAATTTACAGATAGGTATAAGATGCTATTCCTAATTGATTCCCTGTGTCAATAATTATCCTTTGACCACGTTATAAAAATGATACATAAAAGAATGATAGCCAACTCAGATTTTATGAAACTTTAAACATATCCTGATGTTTTCCTAGTGTCAAAATTTATGAAACTTGAAAGCCTATTTAGTATTAAATGTACTGCTTTGTTTGTATAAGAATTGTTTTTATTTTGTGTATGTGCCTCACACTTTGTTTGTATAAGAATTGTTTTTTGTGTATGTGCCTCACACTTTGTTTGTATAGGAATTGTTTTTTGTGTATGTGCATCAAACTTTGTTTGTATAAGATTTTAGTGTAAGTGCCTCACACTTTGTTTAGTATTAAATGTACTGCTTTGTTTGTATAAGAATTTTTTTTTGTGTATGTGCCTCACACTTTGTTTGTATAAGAATTGGGGTTTTTTTTGTGTATGTGCATCACACTTTGTTTGTATAAGAATTATTTTTTTGTGTAAGTGCCTCACACTTTGTTTGTATAAGAATTGTTTTTTAGTGTATGTGCCTCACACTTTCTTTGTATAAGAATTGTTTTTTTGTGTATGTGCCTCACACTTTGTTTGTATAAGAATTGTTTTTTAGTGCATGTGCCTCACACTTTGTTTGCATAAGAATTGTTTTTTTGTGTATGTGCCTCACACTTTGTTTGTATAAGAATTGTTTTTTAGTGTATGTGCCTCACACTTTGTTTGTATAAGAATTGTTTTTTGTGTATGTGCCTCACACAAAATTGTTCAAACAGGACCCTAACAGACATTGTCAGTTTTCTAGTTATTATCTATCTATGTCCAGTGGTAAATATTTCATGTGTATTAAGGGCAATGTCAGAAAGTAATCTTATATCTCTTAAACAAGACCCTTATAAGAGAACAGTGTTTTCCATTCGGCATTTAAGTCGGGTGTGCCGACCACCTTCTTTTGAAAGCCGACCACCTTTCCATTTTAGGAGGTGGTCAGCTTTTTTTTTCAAATTCCGGATTTTTTTTGGTTCCGCACCGTAAAAATTTAAATACTAATCGCGCCTCGCTGATGGCCCAAGACCACAATTAATGATCCCGCTTTTCGTTGTCCACGAATATAGTTCCTTTTAATAAGAGTGTATTTTTTCTTAATTTTTTTTCTTTCCCTTCCTCACTCATTTCTTAGTTTTTTTTGGGTGGAAATAAAAGAAGAGAGGTGAAATAAACTTTTGGATGTTGTATTTTAACTGATTTTGATATGGAAAGAGTGATTAGGCCTGGTGCAAAAAGGTGATATTTACAGTTTTCGGAACATCTCTTGACTTGTCCATAGGGGTATGGATGTGTATTTCCTAAATTTGTAAGAGTCATTGGTTCAATCTTTCTGAATTTTGGATATATTTTTGGACTAGTACTATACATTACACACACAAAAGATTTGACAAAAATGCATGGTGCAATTTTTTTAATGAAACAAAACGTTATAAAGAACTAATAGGGGAATTTAATTGTGGTCTGTGGCCTGATTGTTTTCATTGACAAAAATGGCGGATCGTCAAATTTCAATGTTTTCTTTTATTAATCGGGGGAAGAGAAAGGCAGATGACGATGGTGATAAGGAAAATTCTAGGCCAAATAAGTCAACTTAAACGGATAGTTGTATTGAAATTGTTGAAATGGAAAAAAAAAGTATCAAATCAACGGAAAAGGCACACAAGTGATCGCGAAGATAAACAGGTTGGGAACAATCCCCCAAATGAGGGATATCCCTTAAATGAGGGACTGTCTCTCTGGTAAGAGGTTATGTTAATTCTGTTGAAAAAAAGAAAAGAGAAAAACTTAGATTTTTTAACTTTTAAAAAAGGGGGAAAAATCGTTATATTCGGACCAACTTTTCTAAAAGAAGGTCCCATTATTTTTAATGATAAAGAAGATATAAGTCCAGGAATATTACAAAATTCTTGGACATGTTTTGACCATATAATACCAAATAGATGTATAGTTCTTTGGAAAAATTTTCTGTAAATAAAATAAATATGTGCTCATTTGTATCTTGTTAAATGTACCCCTCATAAAAGAGATAGTCATTACATTGAGAGGTTACCCCTCATTTGATAAATGTGAACAGGACTTTAAATGGTTAATCATCACAGAAGGAGGATATTACTGCTCTGTGTTCCAAAAATACAGCACTAAAGCGAGGAACAGGGTAGAAACTTTGATCGATAAACTATGCATATGCAGGAGGAGGGAGTCCTACAAAAGCCATATCTGCTATCCGAGATCCGCAAAACTAATTTGTCAAATAAATGGCTAGCAGTAATAGCAGAAGAACAGTTCAATTTTATTAAATGTGAATACCATACTAATCTTTCTTTTTGTGACCCCCTCCAACAGTAAAAAACCCCGGTTTGGAAATGTTGAAAAAAAAACAACACCCGGTTGCAAGTGATTTTTTCAAAACACCCACCTTACCTTAGTGAAAAATGGAGAACACTGGAGAAAATACTTTAAATTATTGGTTTTTTATTAACCATCTACTATGAAGAAAATCTGGCTAAAATAAATGTATGTGTTATATTTGTTCAATCAAAAACCGTTGAGATGTTCATTGCTCCCAGATATGTTAATTCTAAGCTTGTATCAAAAATCAAGATTAAAATTACCCCTCCATAAAGAAATGGACGTTAAAAATTAAAAACAAGTTTTCAATTGTTTGCACCTGTCCTAAGTCAGGAATCTGATGTTCATTAGTTATCGTTTGTTGATGTGGTTCATAAGTGTTTCTTGTTTCTCGTTTTTTATATAGATTAGACCGTTAGCTTGCTGTTCAGTGTGAGCCAAGGCTCTGTGTTGAAGACCGTACGGTGACCTATAATGGTTTACTTTTATAAATTTTAACTTTAATGGAGAGTTGTCTCATTGGCACTCATACCACATCTTCTTATATCTATTAACTGAGAGCTACAATAAATGCTCACTAATGATACCAAAGCTATAAGTATTGGTACAACATGAAGTTGAAGAGCAATGTATGTGAAAACACATCAAACAGTATAACATGCTCACAGCAAAGATGAAACCAAAGTTCTCTTGTTGTACTGTTACACCACTGTCCCATGTTAGGGGGAGGATTTGGCACCAGCAAACATGATTAACCCAGCCATATTCTATATGTGCCTGTCCCAAGTCAGGAGCCTGTACTGGGAGGTAATTGACTGGTTGTTGAATTTTGCTGTTTCTCATATTTGTTTTTCTTTTATCGTTTTGTATAGTTTGTTCTTGTGTTGTGCCATTATACCACTGTCCCAGATTAGGAGAGGGTTGGCGCCTCAAACATGTGTAACCCCACCACATTCTTTATGTGCCTGTCCCAAGTCAGGAGCCTGTAGTTCAGCAGTTGTCTTTGGTTCATGTCAGTTATATCTGTTTTTCTTAAATTGTTTTGTTATAAATCAGGCTGTTAGTTTTCTCAATTTAATTATTTCATATTTTTCATGTCAGGGCCTTTTATAGCCGACTATATGGTATGGGTTTTTCTCAATGTTGAAGGACGTACAGTTGCCTATAATTGCTAACATCCGCTTCATTTGAACTTTGGTGGACAGTTGTCTCATTGGCAATCAGACCACATCTCCTTATTCTTATATCAAGGGTCTTCTGATTCATGGTTCATGAGAAAGATATGACAGAAATTTCATACATAGCCATTATATGTCAGAATATATAAATGTTTAGTAAAAATAAGGTTGATGAGTGAGGAATTTGGGAAATGTGTCAAAGGGCAAATCATGCACATAAAAAGCTTGCTATCAAATTACAGGAAGCTCTGGTTAGTAGTTCCTGTGAAAAATGTGAAAAAAAATTTACTTCATGTCGATTATGTATAAGAATTTCTATATATGCAAACAGTAAACAAGAAGCTGATGAGTGATGAATGTGAAATTGTGTCACACAGTATAGCATGCTCACAGGAAGCTTGCTAGCAAATTGTAGGAATCTCTGATTAGTAGTACCAAAAATAGTACAAAATATCATATATGGCCATTATCTGTAATAAATATAAATACTGTATGTTTAGAAATTAGTGTAAGGTCTTCATTAATATGAATAATGCAACTTGATGAGTATCACAATAAAAAAACTCACATTCTTAATTGGATATATATATTTGTATTTAGATTTTCCTGATTAATCTCACATTTTTGTCCTCTCTTCTAAAAATTGCAATAAAAAATGCACATACTAATTTCTGAATTTACAGTATTCAGTTAAATAAAAACTAAGGAGAGATGAATGTGAAAATGTGTCCCACAGTATGACATCCCCATAGCAAGCTGTCTAGTAAACTTAATGGAGCTTTGATACATATGCAGTTTCAGAATGGAACGAAAGGGACAGGAAAATTTTAGGATGGATGGACAGACTGACAGCATCAAATAGTATATCCACTCCTTTGGAACATAAGTATCGTTACTTTACATATAATAGTTACCCATAGCAGAAGCAAGTCCTTTTATTGAAGAAGACTTTTTCTTATTGAGGTTTGAGGCAGCTTCCTCCTGTTTACTTTTGACTGAAAATGCCACTCTGACCTCTATTTCTCCTCTATATTTGTTGTCAGGAGTTTTATTTGGTTTACCCTGCAGTTGTATCCATCTGGAAATATTCATAGGATACAGAGATATAAAACATTTTTAAATTCTATATTTTTATGCAACAATCTCCAAAAGCTGTAATAAAATACACACTATACTTATCAATATGCCTAATCACAAGAAGTAACCAAACTTTCATATTTTCATCTAAAGAAGTACCATACTTAGTAGTTTTTAGACCTAGGGCAGATCTAGAAAAAAGGGCAAGTAGTGTGAACCAACTAATCTTTTCGAACGGATTAATTTACATGACTTTCACAAGCAGAAAATTAACATGAATATGTTATACTTGGGATCTTCTCTAATATGAATACATCAACAAATTTTGAAAATTGCAAACATAAATGCTGTGTATTTGTTTATTCCACATTGGCTAGAGGTATACGGGGAGGGTTGAGATCTCACAAAGCATGTTTAACCTCGCCCCATTTTTGTGCCTGTCCCAAGTCAGGAACCTCTGGTCTTCGTTAATTCTAGTATGTTTTGTAATTTTGATTCATTTACATGTTTCAGATTTAGTGTGGCTTCCATTTCGATTAACTAGTATACATTATTATTTAGGGACCAGTTGAAGCCCACCTCAGGGTGATGGATTTTCTTGCTGCGTTGAAGACCCATTGGTGGTCTTGGGCTGATTTCTACTCTTTGGTCGGGTTGTTGTCTCTTTGACACAATCCCCGTTTCCATTCTCAATTCTATCATAGTCTGCAAGATAGGTTTATATGTGAAAAAAGTTATAGTATGAGTAAACAAAATTGTTTCTGAATTGGAATTACATCATCTTATAATAATTCACATCATTTTCTATTATAGAATAATGCCTCTCTCATTGAAGCATTCCAAAAACTGACAAAACAAAAGTCTGAGATTTTCCACAACAACAGGTGTCTCTATGTTACACTTGAAAAATTTCTGTACAAATAACCATTCTGTTTGTGTATAATCTAAAGTGTAATAAAATGCTCCGCAGGGCGCAGCTTGATACGACCGCAGAGGTCGAACCCTGAACAGTTGGGGCAAGTATGGACACAACATTCAAGCTTGATACAGCTTTGCATTTGGATTGTGATTAAATATTTGACACAGCATAGGTTTCTGACACAGAATGAATGTGGTCTAAGAACTTAAAAATTTTAAATTGGACATTCACCTATTATGGTCCAATATCCAAAATCTAAATACATGGTTAGATTCAGCATATCAAAGAACCACAAGAATTCAATGTTTGATGAAATCAAACAAAGTTTAATTTTGGACCCTTTTGACCTCAATGTGGACAAAGTTGATAACGGGGCCCAAAAATCAAAAATCTAAATACATGGTTAGATTCAGCATATCAAAGAACCCCATATATTCAATTTTTGTTGAAATCAAACAAAGTTTAATTTTGGACCCCGATTTGGACCAACTTGAAAACTAGGCCCATAATCAAAATCTAAATACATGTTTAGATTCAGCATATCAAAGAACCCTAAGAATTCAATTTCTGTTAAAATCAAACTAAGTTTAATTTTGGACCCTTTGGACCTTAATGTAGACCAATTTGAAAACGGAACCAAATATTAAGAATCTAAATACACGGTTAGATTCGGCATATCAAAGAACCCCAATAATTCAATTTTTGATGAAATCAAACAAAGTTTAATTTTGGACCCTTTGGACCTCAATGTGGACCAATTTAAAAACGGGGCCCAAAATCCAAAAACTAAATACACGGTTAGATTCAGCATATTAAAGAACCCCAAGAATTCAAGAATAAAACCCCATTGAAATTGGTCAAGAAATAAGCAATTTATACGAAGTATCTTCTTTTGCACAATACTGTGCAATTAAATATTTCTTGCTATTGCGCAGTGATATTGTTGTCTTTTTTCAAAACTACCTCTACCGTTTTTTATTGGGAAAAATGCATATTTTTTATTGAAATTGGGAAATTTGTATATTTTATTCTAAACACATTTCCGATTTTTTGCCGACCTTTGCAGTCTTTTTTGTACTGTTTTTTTCATGTATATTTTGGTTGTCAGACATTTTCAACCTGAAAGGTACTTTTCTAAGAGGGGAAAGAAACAGAAGCAATGATGGTACTTAATGCATTGAAAACCACATGTGTTACAAACTCGATGATGATTCTGATCAGAAAACCGGATCTCAAAAGTGCTTTCTAATATCAAAATAATAACATGAATACGATATTTACAATCATTACTACCAATGCCATCACTGTTTGGGGAAAATGTAAAACTTTTTGGGAGGAATTTTAAGCCATTTTTTTTAGTAATTGGGAATTTTCTCTGGGGGAAAAAGCCGAATTTCGGCTGTAATTTGAGGCAAACAATATCACTGTTGCGCAATACTGTACAATTGACAATTTCTTGCTATTGCGCAATATTGTGCTATTGGATATTTCTTGCTATTGCGCAATACTGTGAAATTGAAGATTTATTGCTATTGCGCAATACTGTGCAATTGAAGATTTCTTGCTATTGTGCAATACTGTGCAATTGAAAATTTCTTGCTATTGCACAATACTTATTATATAATAATTTACACATCCTGTTTGGTGTGTATCTCCTACCATATCATTATTATTTGCTTTTAAATATAAATCAGAAATAACAAACTTAAAATGGAAAATTTTAAAAGAAAAAAATGGAAAAAAAGAAAAAAAAGGAAAAAAAAAATAAATCCCCCCCCAAAAAAATTTTTTGAACCCCCTTATGATTCATCACCCCCAAACTCAATCCCAGCCTACCCTTTGTGGTATGGTACCTTGCAGTACAATTTCAGAGAGATCCATACACTTGAACACAAGTTATTGTCTGGAAACTAGAAAAATGTGTTTTTTGGCCCCTTTTTGGCCCCAAATTCCTAAACAATTAGGGCAATTACCCCCAAACTCAAACCCAGCTTTCCCTTTGTGATATGGAACCTTGTAGTACAATATCAGAAAGATCCATACACTTACACACAAGTTATTGTCCTGAAACTAGAAAAATGCTTGTTTTTTGCCCCTTTTTGGCCCCTAATTCCTAAAATATTGAGGCAATTACCCCCATCATCAATCCCAGCCTTCCCTTTGCGGTATGGTACCTTGCAGTACAATTTCAGAGCAATCCATAAACTTGAACACAAGTTATTGTCTGGAAACTAGAAAAATGCTTATTTTTGGCCCCTTTTTTGACCCCCAATTCCTAAATGTTTCAGCAATTACCCCCAAACTCAATTCCAGCTTTTCCTTTGTGATATGGAACCTTGTAGTACAATTTCAGAAAGATCCATGCACTTACACACAAGTTATTGTCATGAAACTAGAAAAATGCTTTGTTTTTTTGCCCCTTTTTTGGACCCTAATTCCTAATATTTTGAGGCAATTACCCCCAAAATCAATCCCAGCATTCCTTTTGTGATATGGAACCTTGTGGTACAATGTCAGAGAGATCCATACACTAACACACAAGTTATGTCTGGAAGTTACAAAAATGCTTATTTTTGGCCCCTTTTTGGCCCCTAATTCCTTTACTGTTGGTACCATAACCCCCAAAATCAATCCCAACCTTCCTTTTGTGGTATTGAACCTTGTGGTAAAATTTCATAGAGATCCATTCACTTAAACTAAAGTTAGAGTGCGAAAACCAATGTGTCTTCGGACGACGCCGGATGACGACGACGACAACGACGACGACGCCAACGTCATACCAATATACGACCACAAAATTTTTTTTGCGGTCGTATAAAAAGTATGAAAAAAAATTACTCAATACACCAATGATCTGTTTCTCTGCACTTTTTGATTTTTTTGCACAGTATTTTCTACAAGCTAATTATAAATAAGTCCAGATTTTTTCATAATGCCTCTTCCCTCAATATTTGAACAGCATCATCTGAACATGACCAGCCTGCATTTTTTTTATAGTATGAAGCATACTTACTGACTAGAAGGTCTTTCATACACTTTATAATGCCACAATGGTACGGAACAATATCCAATGAAATCATCTGATAGCATCCCACGATGCATCACATGTAGTTGTACTTCCATGTTCATTGTTGGTAGTTGCCTACAATAGAAAATGTGTTTTAATCAAGTTATGACATAATGCACCTTTCACAAAATTTGACTGCTTACAAAATGATTAAACAAATTTGTTCAAATCTTTTCTTGTCAAAATTCCTTCAAATTACAGATACTCCAATTATGAATAAATTACTGTAGATCCTGAAGGTATATGTGTGGATAACAGTTCATATAACAACTATATACTGTTGTTTATACATAATATTACAACTATTGTTTCAATGAATACTCACAGATCACACTGCTCAAACCATTCTGGGTTCAGAGCATTTTTAATGGTAGATGTTTGGAACTTCTCCTTACCAAGCTGTACTGCTACAAACACATCTGTTAGTTTTGATCCTGAAATCAAATATTTTTTATAAAAATTTCACCCTGACACCTTTTAATCAAAATTGATAACTATCAGATCTATAATTAATATTGCAAACTGTAAAAAAAACTTTGAATATTTGTAACTTAATCTTTATTTAAATGTGTCAAAGCACAAAACCTGTTTGCACTGATGTATGGTTAAGCAACCAATAATCAATGCACAAAGTACACTTCTTCGCTGTTTATCAGCTATAATGACTATAATGCTATATAATCAAATCCATTTTTATCACAACTAGAAAAACTGTGAGAAGATAGACCTCAAATCCTCCTTGGTATAGAATTTTGCTATACGAACTTTAATGGTTTACTTTTATAAATATTGACTTGGATATGGAGAGTTGTCTCATTGGCACTCATACCACATCTTCTTATATCTATCCAACTATTTTGTTGATAACATATACTGTAGGAGATGCACAAGGCATTTTTAAAAAACAATTCTACAAATATTTCATTGTAATAAGGCAACTTTTAGGAGGATAGTGAAAATCCCTTTTGCAGAAAATGCAAATGTTTTGCTACTGGAAACCCAAAATACAATTTGGATAAAAAATATAAATTTACACAATGCCATTGAATACTAGAATATGTGTAATTCCACTGAAATCAAGTCACTTGTTAAGAAGTTGTAGATACAAGGTGTGGACATGGACTAATAGATAAAAGAACGGATGAACAGATTCAATAATCACTGGATTCACAATATACAGACACTTCAGTAAAGAGATCATATATAAATATTCATAAAAATTAATACATGCATTTATCATTGCGATTCCTTGACCTCTGGCACAAATGGGAAATCTAATGTGATTTCAAAATTTTATGAACGAAAATCAATACTGCAATTATGAATGAGAGTTTTTATTATTGCAACCTGATATTGTCACATTTTTCTCATTTAATAAAAAACATGGAAATAATTTCTGAATTTACAGTAACATACACAAGAAGCCTGAAGTAGCTACAAGAACCTCAATTTAAAACTAGAGGCTCTCAAGAGCCTGTGTCGCTCACCTGACTCTACTTTGGTTTTAGAAATCATGTAAAGATAGATAAAAATCATAACAGATACCCAAATAATGATTGAGGCCAAATTTTGATTAATATTGGTCCCGTTATTTAATAAAATATCCTGGTGGCCATCTTGAACAGTAAATCGGCAACAAAGTAGCAACACTTGGTCAGCACTTCATAAGGAACATTCATGCCATGTTTGGTTTCATTCCATTCAGTGGTACTCTAAAAGAAGACATTTGTATGTATTTCCCATAGGGTCCTATGTTAAACTAAGTCCCCTGCTGTCGGCCATCTTGGATGATGGACCGACTGCAAAGTAACAACACTTGGTCAGCAACTCATAAGGAACATTCATGCCATGTTTGGTTCATTTCCATTCAGTGGTTCTCTAAAAGAAGACAATTGTATGTATTTCCCATAGGGTCCTATGTTAAACTTAAGTCCCCTGCTGTCGGCCATCTTGGATGATGGACCGACTGCAAAGTAACAACACTTGGTCAGCAACTCATAAGGAACATTCATGCCATGTTTGGTTCATTTCCATTCAGTGGTTCTCTAAAAGAAGACAATTGTATGTATTTCCCATAGGGTCCTATGTTAAACTAAGTCCCCCGCTGCCGGCCATCTTGGATGATGGATAGGCTGCAAAGTAATAACACTTGATCAACATCTCATAAGGAACATTCATGCCATGTTTGGTTCCATTCCATTTATTGGTTCTCTAAAAGAAGACATTTTTATGTATTTCCCAAAGGGTCCTGTGTAAAACTAAGTCCCCCACTGGCGGCCATCTTGGATGATGGATCGGCTACAAAGTAACAACACTTGGTCAGCACCTCATAAGGAAGATTCATGCCATGTTTGGTTTCATTCAATTCAGTGGTTCTCTAAAAGAAGACATTTGTATGTATTTCCCATAGGTCCTTTGTTAAACTAAGTCCCCTGCTGTCAGCCATCTTGGAAGATGGACCGACTGCAAAGTAACAACACTTGGTCAGCACCTCATAAGGAACATTCATGCCATGTTTGGTTTCATTCCATTCAGTGGTTCTCTAAAAGAAGACATTTGTATGTATTTCCCATAGGGTCCTATGTTAAACAAAGCCCCCCGCTGGCGGCCATCTTGGATGATAGATCGGCTACAAAGTAACAACACTTGCTCAGAACCTCATAAGGAACATTCATGCCATGTTTGGTTTCATTCCATTCAGTGGTTCTCTAAAAGAAGACATTTGTATGTATTTCCCATAGGGTCCTATGTTAAACTAAGCCCCCCGCTGGCGGCCATCTTGGATGATAGATCGGCTAAAAAGTAACAACACTTGGTCAGCACCTCATAAGGAACATTCATGCCATGTTTGGTTTCATTCCATTCAGTGGTTCTCTAAAAGAAGACATTTGTATGTATTTCCCATAGGGTCCTATGTTAAACTAAGTCCCTTGCTGGCGGCCATCTTGGATGATGGATCGGCTACAAAGTAACAACACTTGGTCAGCACCTCATAAGGAACATTCATGCCATGTTTGGTTTATTCCATTCAATGGTTCTCTAGAAGTTCAAAATGTAAAAAGTTAACGCCGACGACGGACGACGGACGCCAAGTGATGAGAAAAGCTCACTTGGCCCTTCGGGCCAGGTGAGCTAAAAATGAACTGAATATCTTATATAAATAAATACATACCACCTTTGCTCTTTGTTAAGAGGTTTCTGGCTCTCAAAACTAAAATAAAGATAAATATTTAGGATAACTGGAAATGACACTTTTATGTAATATCTGTTTCTCAGATGACGACGGATATGTTCTGTTTTGATTTGCTTGTATGTAGTGTTAGGCTGGTTGCTCAACGAAAAATGATTGATATATACCTCACATTATATCTAATTTAACCACAACCTTATATTCATGTAGAGTCGGCATGGTTGATATATGAAAGATTCAAACCAAATTATAAGATAATATAATCTTTATTTATTTCAGACTCAAAAGGTCAATATATATATATATATATATATAAATACACAACAAAAATGTTTCTGTTTAAACAGGATAAAAGGTTCTTGAAAATATTTTCATTATTATAGTTAAAAATCAAAAGGTATACATGCATGACATGAGTGTTTGGATTAATAAAAAGGGTGGGGGGGTTAATTTCTTTATTTTTTTTAATTTCTAATTGCCATTTTCTATTTTTTATGGACCCTTAGTATAATCAGACGGTCTCACTAAATAGCGACAAGAAGCGTCAAGAAGCGACAAGAAGAATAATTTAGCGACAAGAAGCGACAAGAAAACATTTTTTTTTATCAAAATTACTTATTCCAAATAAATATTAAAAGAATATGCAATAGAAAAAAATTTTGAAACATAGATCTAATTGCGACATTTATTTGTGATATTTTAATATTTATTAAGTATAAAGCAAGTATAACGTTTACCCTGTCGTATTATGATATTAATTTTACTTGTGTTTTAGAACAATAATATATTTATCTTATAATTTGTTTTTAAAACTCTCTTTGTACAATATATAATAAACTTGCAAAATGCATTATTTGTGCATCATTGTCCAGAAAATACAGACACAAATTACATAATACAAAGATCTGAAATCAAACAAGAGGAAAACATAATTAAGATGTGAATTTTTTTCATCATTTTATTTTGTGTATTGCCTCATTTAACGATATTTATCATGTTTATGCATAGCTTAATGTTGATTGAAGATTGAAGGAAATTAATGACAATCTTGAGGTTTTAACAGGTGTTCACTATTTACAATGATTGTATATTCTGTCGCGTGTAATCGTTATGTCTGGCGCGTGTACAAAGTTGAAGGTGTTAATTGGATGTTATTGTAGCGATAAAACAAGGGACACGGGCCTCGTTATCCCATTCTTCCTTACACATGTTTAATTTCTTCATCTATCAATATAATAATAAAAACTACGCAATCCCTTTCTTCCTCACAAATGTTTAATTTCTTCATCTATCAATATAATAATAAAAACTTCATAATCCCTTTCTTCCTCACAAATGTTTAATTTCTTCATCTATCAATATAATAAAAAAAAAATAATCAATTTATTTCTGCCCATATATTACAAAAAAAAAAATGCATATTTTTTAATATCTATTTGGAATAAGTAATCTTAATAAAAAAAAAATATGTTTTCTTGTCGCTAAATAGTCTTCTTGTCGTTTCTTGTGGCTAAAATTATTCTTCTTGTCGCTTCTTGACACTTCTTGTCGCTAATTATCAGATGATTTATGTTCTTTAAATCTATTGTTTTAATAGTAAATGAACTTTCTTGTCGCTTAGTTTTTCTTCTTGTCACTTATATTTTTCTTCTTGTCGCTTCTTGACGTTTCTTGTCGCTAATTAGTGAGACCGGTCTTGGAAGAGATAAAAATATTCCCTGCAGATTCATTTGACATGCACAAAAGTATATAATCATGCATTTCTTGTATCATCTTATTATTGTCTGCTTGTATGTCATAAATCAAAATACTGAAGTTCCATGTTAAAGTATCAACAACTGTCTATTCAATCAGTAAGTGATGTCACCTTTAGGAAATTACAATGTTACATGTACATGTAGTAAATTATTTACCCACCTGTTAATTGTACATGTGTTGGTTCCCACGTCATATTTGATAGTTCTTTGTTTCTCACTTTTTCATAACAATTTACTTCAAAAATCTAGGGACAACCAAACTGAACCTGGGAATTATTGTTTGTAAACACATCTACATTTGAACTTTTACAGGTAACATATGATTCACGTCAGCTGTTCAACAGGTGCGCGAAATAAATTGAATGTTATCTACTATTCACGATGTAATTCTTTAATTGTCCCTCGATTTTGCATGTCTTGATTTCTTTACTTTCATCGAAAATTGGTTTTCTTAAATGCAAATATTAAACAACTTGAACTGTTGAATGTTTACGTTCTGTGTTATCTTCTTTCTTATCAGGAAGTGAGACCTCCTACTGCAGAGTTATCGAACTTATCTCCATTAATCTAAAGACCAATATTGCTATTTTACATTCATACACAATAACGTACGTAAATATCTTATTGATTCTCATTTTATAGTTGACTTCATTTTATCATAAGATACTCAAGTTTCATGTAAAAGGATAAATTTGAACTGCTGTTAATTTGTGCTCGAATCTACTAAAAGTGCATACAGATGTAACTGGAGAGCATGATTTTCATTACAAAATCGCTTGTCTCCTCTGGGATTCGAACCTGGGACCTCTGTGTTACAAGGCAGCCTGTATACCGACTGAGCTAAAGAAGTACTTCCTTAGCTCAACCGCTTACGGCTGACTAAGTATCTATCACATTTACTAAGGGAAGCAATCCCATCACACTTCCCGCACCTCAAGAGTCGTCATACCATTATGACTCTCACACACATACCCTAGCTAGAATTCCTCTCTAACCACCATGGGTTTTTTAGTTGGGCACCAATGTAACCGGAAAGTATGATTCTTTTTACAAAGTTGCTTGTCTGCTCCGGGACTGGAACCCGGGACCTTGGTGTTACAAGGCAGCACGTTAACCGACTGAGCTAAAGCTTACGGCTGACTAAGTATCTACTTATGAAGGGAAGCAATCCCGTCACACAGACAAGGAAAGGTTGGTGATTATCTCCTGGAAATACTTGTTCACCACTAAAGCCACTCTTCTGGAAATTCTTGTTCACCACTAAAGCCACTCTCTTAGAAATACTTGTTCACCACTAAAGCCACTCTCCTAGAAATACTTGTTCTCCACTAAAGCCACTCTCCTGGAAATATTTGTTCACCACTAAAGCCACTCTTCTAGTAACAATCAGGGGGAGACAACTTAAATTTGCAGGAGATAAAACCAATTTTGTGTATCCAGTTGATCATATCATTGTACTTATTGACATTTTTTGTTGTGATGTCTTCCTGGCAGGAAAGCAAAAAATTAAAATAGCCTTTAAAGACGTAATGATTATTTGGACTACAGGAAAATTTGACATTATATATTTATTGAATCAAATGCGATCTTAAATGATTCCTCATGGATTGTGTTATGGATGTGATGTTATAATTTCTTGAAGCAAGATGATATTTGAATATTCAAATTCCATGATACTAGGATGCTATGTCAAATTTGTGGGGAGAATACTGTTTCTATACATATTTATTTTCTGTAGTTGTTTAAAAACTCTATTTCCAATTTAAAGCCCATTTTGAAATGACATATATATGCAAAGGCATTTTTTTTTAACACTCCATGCTTTACACTAAACCAAGCTTGACATTGTGCACATGGCCATCACTTCTATATGATAATTAAGACAGCCACTTCAATGACAAGCTGATATATCAATGAACATGCAATAAGTAGAGAATGACATGTCTATATATAACCATCTTATCAAGTGTAATATAAACAAAATTATTGATCGCAAGATTAAAGGTGCAGGTGTACATGTATTGTCAATGAGCGTGTTAGGAGAAATTTAATCCCTACAATGATTTCTGACAGGTATGAAACATTTCAACTTAGGGAATAAATTCTATGTGGTTTATCATACTTATTGCCATGATGAGATTTAGTTAGAGTCACCAAAAATTTGACTCATTTAAATTCAACAAAACAAAGTTCATTTATCTACATGTATATTACTGTATTTTAGCTTTGGGACTGCACAAATTTTTCAACTTATGCATTGTTGTCAAGGGAAATTTAGAGTCAACCAAGTTCAACCTAAGACAACGAACATCAACTGTATATATAACATGTATAAGATGAATTTTTCATACTTTTGGCCATACAGATGTAACTGGAGAGCATGATTTTCATTACAAAATCGCTTGTCTCCTCTGGGATTCGAACCCGGGACCTCTGTGTTACAAGGCAGCCTGTATACCGACTGAGCTAAAGAAGTACTTCCTTAGCTCAACCGCTTACGGCTGACTAAGTATCTACCACATTTACTAATGGAAGCAATCCCATCACACTTCCCGCACCTCAAGAGTCGTCATACCATTATGACTCTCACACACATACCCTAGCTAGAATTCCTCTCTTACCACCATGGGTTTTTTAGTTGGGCGCCAATGTAACCGGAAAGCATGATTCTTTTTACAAAGTTGCTTGTTTGCTCCGGGACTGGAACCCGGGACCTTGGTGTTACAAGGCAGCACGTTAACCAACCAAGCTAAAGCTCAACCGCTTACGGCTGACTAAGTATCTACTTATGAAGGGAAGCAATCCCGTCACACAGACAAGGAAAGGTTGGTGATTAACTCCTGGAAGTACTTGTTCACCACTAAATCCACTCTCCTGGAAATTCTTGTTCACCACTAAAGCCACTCTCCTACAAATACTTGTTCACCACAAAAGCCACTCTCCTACAAATACTTGTTCACAACTAAAGCCACTCTCCTGGAAATACTTGTTCACCACAAAAGCCACTCTCCTGGAAACAATTGTTCTCCGCTAAAGCCACTCTCCTGGAAATACTTGTTCTCCGCTAAAGCCACTCTCCTTGAAATATTTGTTCACCACTAAAGCCACTCTCCTAGAAATACTTGTTCACCACAAAAGCCACTCTCCTGGAAATACTTGTTCTCCGCTTAAGCCACTCTCCTGGAAATACTTTGATTCTCATTTTATTGTTGAATTCATTTTATCATAAGATACTGAAGTTTCATGTAAAATGTTAAATTTCAACTGCAGTTAATTTGTGCTCCAATCTACTTAAAGTTCATACAGACAAGGAAAGGTTGGTGATTATCTCCTGGAAATACTTGTTCTCCGCTAAAGCCACTCTCCTGGAAATACTTGATCCCCACTAAAGCCACTCTACTGGAAATACTTGTTCACCACTAAAGCCACTCTCCTGGAAATACATGTTCTCCTCAAAACCCACTCTCCTGGACATACTTGATCCCCACTAAAGCCACTCTACTGGAAATACTTGTTCACCACTAAAGCCACTCTCCTGGAAATACATGTTCTCCTCAAAACCCCCAATATAAGCAAACAAATTAAAGAATAAAGAAATGAGGGGCCTGATGGGTTATTTTCGTTCTTCGTGATCGGCGCATTTTCGCTATCGTGATCCGTTTTTCTACAGATTTATATTTTTTTATATTTTCATGATCCGTGATCATGGAAATTTATTTTCTGTGAATCGTGATTGATAAAAAAATCATCTCGTGAATCGTGATGAGACCCCCCCCATCAGGCCCCTCAGAAATGAAGGACTCCCAAGCCGCCATCCAGACCCTCTTATTATCAATGCAGTATATTTTTGGAAATCAATATCAAATCATTTGTTTTCATTTTTATCATGATAAAGGGAAAGTTACATTTCTATGGAACATAACTCCCCACAATTTTTTTTTTTAACATATGCTGACTATCTTATTTGTCTAAGATATTGCTGATGTCAATCTCATTAATATTTAATGATAAATGTAGATAAAAGATCTGTTACAAAGTTGATTTTCCAATATTATTTACATTTCCAAGGGACATAAATCCCCTCAAAAAATTATAGCTCCACATATTTTTTCCTATCAGTCCAGATTTTTAAATTCCTTACGGATATTTGTGATGAAAACTCTCGACATAAATTTCATTAAACTCTGATGAGCATGACAACACTGTCAATGTTGATTTCCAATAATTCTGATATTTACTTATACAAGGGTAACAAGTCCCCAAAAAAATAATGCTTGGTCCAGATTTTCAAACCTATCAGAGATAATCAGGTGAGTTAAAAGCATTCACATTAGAGTGCTTACAATGTCAATTTCCTTGTTGCTCACATTTTTTAGGGCCATAACTGTAGGTATGAGAGCACTTACAATAGACAGAAGACTAGACAACAAGGGGGTTGGATACAGAAAATTATTTTCATTTACCTGTGTTTAAAATTATTGTAAATGGCTGATATTTTTGTTCGAGCATATTGTTTTTCTTTAATTGTTTAACATTTCATACCGATATAACACGTTACTTTTATTATTCTTCCCTTAGTTTATTTATTTTGTATTTACATTGTATCATAGGTCAAATTTATTTGTTCAGTGTATGTTCAATGGTGTTAATATGTCCTTTGATTGAGTTAAGCTATTTCAGTTGATATTTTATAGTGTGTCTTTCTATGTTGTGATGTTACACTATTGTTTCAGAAAAAGGGTGAAGGTTTGGTACCATTAAAACGTTTAAACCCGCTGCATTTGTTTGCACCTGTCCTAAGTCAGGAATCTGATGTTCAGTAGTTGTCGTTTGTTGATGTGGTTCATAAGTGTTTCTCGTTTCTCGTTTTTTATATAGATTAGACCGTTGGTTTTCCCGTTTGAATGGTTTTACACTAGTAATTTTTGGGGCCCTTTATAGCTTACTGTTCGGTGTGAGCCAAGGCTCCGTGTTGAAGACCGTACTGTGACCTATCATGGTTTACTTTCATAAATTTTGACTTGAATGGAGAGTTGTCTCATTGGCACTCATACCACATCTTCTTATATCTATTGTCAGAAAGGAGTCAGGATTCTTTTCAGTGGTTGTCACTATTTCTCTATGACTTTTGTCAATTTAGAATTTGTTGTTGTCAGGTATTTGTTTCTCTTTTTTGATTTGTTGATTTAATTAACAATTTCTTTGGACTTATCAATTTAGATCTTACTTATATAGTGTCGGTGCTGGTTAAGTTATTTGATTAGCTTGTATTGTTCATATGGTGTGCACACATCAATGTTAACCCATATCTGGTGAATTGCTGCCTCATAGACTTATACAGCACATCTCGCTTACTTCATATTAGATTATCTCAATCAGACAAAAATATATCTGTGTCAATAAACTTCATGACCAGAGAAGAATAAGTGTATCTTTGTAAATAAATTATGTGTGTTTTCTTTTTCTGACAAGTTATAAATGATGGCTACTGTATCTTTAGCAATATGTTTTAATTGCTATATTTTATTTTTTATGACAGTAAAACTGTGATAGGTAGTATTTGCCAATTTTTAGTGTTCAATATTTTAGCCTCATATTATGGATTTCAAAGAAATAGTTCATGGGGGCCCTAGTTCATTTGAAAATTTAAAGAGGTTTTTTTTTTTTTTGCATAAGAGCATAAGCAAGGGGAAATCATTTTTTTCCCATAATGCTTAAATCACCAATCAACCATAGCCCTCTTGCATCATTTTGATTCTTATAGGGTCCGACAATTTTGAACAGTTTTGCATTCGAAGTAATCCTTTACAAAGAAGATACTTAAGAAAGGAAGCCATCTTGATTTTGATAATGTGAAAATCTTCTACAAAAATAACTGTTTCCGATTGAAAAATGTACAAAAACAGATGGAAATACTTTTAAAAGATTTTATTTAATTTCCTTGTAAACAACACATCCACAGAAATATCCATTTTGATCTCCATTATTGTCTTAAATACAACTGGTATATTAAGTTTAATTTTGACCTCACATATATGTGTACCCAATATTTTAGTATAGAAAGAAGAGGTCATATCAAAATTCTCAATTATACAAGTGTTTACTTTCAAATATAGCCTCATATACACTGACTGTAACGACATACAAAGGTATTTTATACTTTATTTCATATAAACTCAAAAATAATAATATTATAAACTAAGAAATACAATAAAAATTGCTCCAACAAAATGTTCACTGGCTCAAAGTTTCAATAATCATTCACAATATGGATTCAAATGCATAAATATGTACAAATTATCATAACAACCATTCTACAACAATTTTATTCATTATGTATAATAACAAATATTTTACAACCAGATTCTATTACATTGCAACATGATTAAGTGAATTCTCTAAACTGAACTAAATAATATATATATCTATGTTCTTGTAAAATATACCAATATCACATTGTTATGTTTAAATGTCACAGTAGTAATTTGATCAAGATCACTTATCTGTAAAACTACTTTAAAGTGTGGGATAATTATTTTCATAGATTTTGTGACCAGTTCAAACCCAAATTTAGTATAAACTAGGCAATGATCTGCAATGTTTGATTATTGCTGTTTAAATGTTTTGTGAATCAATTGTCCTATGAACAAAAATAAACACTTACCAATGAATAATGAAAGTATTTTCCCAATTATGTGTAGGAATCATATGTATAATTATTGTCTATACCAAATACTATAATATTATCTGGTAATTTAGAGTAAATGTCACTGCGATATCATATATAAGTTTGAAATTAACAAGTCTGATTAATAAAGTCATATTTATCAAATTGTTTCAATAAAACTGAGTATATTCAAAATAAAAAAATAACATAAAATAAAATAAATTTTTAAAGTTTTCACTTTGTTTTATAAATTTTGTATAATCATTAAGGATTAACTGTATAGCTTTAATCAGGATTCTGTGATAGATTAGTGCTTGCCTACAGTTATAGTGAACCTCTACAATAAAATTTGAAGTGACTCTTGACATGATTTGAATAAATTACTGTTTATGAAACAGAAGACATTGTAAAGTACAAAAAAATAAAATTGGAAAATTTACCACTTTGGTCATGAATTTGATGAAAAAAGAACATTTTGAAATGTGATAGGACTAGTGACACGTAATGAAATATTTTCTTGTATATTCATCAGAGCTTAAACATAATATATGTTTGACTGTTTCATTGCTATGTTGTTTTTATTCAAAGATAACATTTCCCTCTACAATAATAAAAAAAAAAATCATAATGTAAAACTGGATTAACTCCCCTTAATGATATCTATGAAATTTTTTTTGTCAGCAGTAATTGGCAAAAGCTGGGTGAAGAGTAACTGAGATTCAAAATTAGTACTGGAAAAAAATGGCCTTAACCTTAATCGGCTGTGAAAAAAAGCAGGAACTATAATGATGTTGCGTCTAAACCATTAAAATATCATATGCTGTTATCTAGAGCTTTTAAATATCATTGGATTTTGTTATCCATACATCTAATACACAATTAGTTTTAAGAAACACACAATCGACCCACATCATTTTCTCTGAAAGCCAACAGATATAATCATGTACTGTTTAGCTAGCTATAAAACCAGGTTTAATCCACCATTTTCTACAAGTACCAAGTCAGGAATATGACCGTTGTTTTCCATTCACTTGATGTGTTTGAGCTTTTGATTTTGCCATTTGATAAAGGACTTTCCATTTTGAATTTTCCTTGGAGTTCAGTATTTTTGTTATCTTAGTTTTTTTTTTTATATTTGCAGCATGTGCCAATAAATCAATTTTTTTTTAGTTTGATTTCAATATATTGAAAGTTCTTGAGTAGACTTGTTCTGTTTCACATTTTTTTAAACTTAAGTGTAGCAGTTCAGCATTTAAATCTTTTTTTGTTTATATGGTCCAAAATGTTTTGACCTTTTACGATAAAAAGATGACTTTCAAAAACAGGAAATACACAGTATTGAGCTTGATAAAAAGTATTTCATTATTAGTTATGAAAAAAAAAGAGAATTGCATCATACCTTGCATGTGCTATATGAAAATGGGTGTGCATTATCATATCCTTTGGGTTAAAAAAACTGAATATGGGTCAATTGTACAGTGTGATAAATCTATAGAATGCATTTAAACAAAAACATATTTGATAAAGTAAAAAAATATTAAATATATAAATGTGTATAAATATGTAAAATGCCCTTCTTCAAAAGACATGATTTTTTCTTCATAACATCTGCAATATACAATGTACACATATAAACTAAATGTCGTCTAAATTACTGCGCTGAGCAGGTAAAGAAAGTTTAATATAAGATTTCTGTGTACAGGATTTTTTATTCTAATTCAGACTAAATAACATTTTTATAAGGAGGCAATTAAAAGGACAGATAAACAGTAGTCGATATACTGGACACAGAAAATGAAGATTGAGCAATGTTAACCCCACTATAAAACTGGAGATTAACTCAGGTATTCTAGAATTGGTATCAACTTATAATGACAACTATCATTACTGTACTAGGATAATCAGAATCACATTTTCTGAGATAATGAAGAATAAAGTAGCATGTGATTTTTTTTAACTTTTAATCAATTTCTTGTTAAAGATAAAAATTTGTTACAGCTTTCTGATCTAACTTTAATCTTACTATAATTGTTTTACTACAACATGAAATGTTTTGTTGATTCAATACAATTTTATTGTTGTTTTACCCTCAAATAAGAAATTGTAGTATGATGACCAACAAAAGACCAAACGACAAGGATATATGAACAACTATACATCACTGTACATCCTTCAACAATGAGCAAAACTTATACTATATAGGAAGTTATAAAGAGCCTTGGGAAGGCAAAATGTGAACCAATTCAAAAGAGAATACCTGATTTATACTAAAACAATAAACGAAATAACAATTATGACAGGCTACAACCAATGAAAACCACTGAAATAACAATTATGACAGCAAGCAACCAATGAAAACCAAAGGATCAGTTTCCAATGTGTAATCAATGTCAGTTAAACACTACATGTGTAACCCAAACTGACAAAAATAGAAACAAACAAAAAATCAAAATTAACTACACCCTGAATATTTAAAAATATTTTTGATAATTTTTGTGTACAGATATTTAAACAAACATGATAATTCATATCACAACGAGCAATGCCCCTCTCCCCCCAAAAAAAAATTCTCAAAATTAAATTTAATAAAAGTTCATTTTAGAAGAAGACTTAGTGAAAGAATATATTGATAAAGAAGAAATTGGTCTATCACAAAAAAATAACATACTTTTAAATCTGATATATTTAAGTAATCTGAAGAATGTTTGGCACTTGAAAAATTGTAAAACAGCCAAAAATAACATATATATACCATTGTGTATACACAATATTACCTTAAAAACCTATGGCATTTTACATTTCTGAACATCAGTACAGTATTTAATAATTCCTTTAGGGAATTTGGTGTTTAGAGCAGATTTATTATCGTCTCTGTTAAATTCATTAACTACTTTTGCAAATATTCAATATCTCTCCTTGTAACCAGGAAAAAGCATTGAAATCAAAAACTATTTACTGTTATAATTAATGTTGATACGACTGATTTATTGCTAGTTTGATCTTTTTTTGTGATATTTTTTCATATTATATTTGCTCGAGAGAGAAAATTATTGCTAGAAACTAAGGCCACTCGTGCCGTTGTCAATGTAAACATCAACGACGTCATAGACAAAATAGTCATAAACAGATTAACAATGGTCTTTCAAACTAGAGGATGTTTCTTGCCCTTCGATGAGATTGTAGCTGAGAAACACCCTCTCATTTAAAAAACCATCGATAATCTATAAATATCAGTAATTTACTAAATGATATATATAAACAAATTATAATACAAGTATGTATAATAACTAATCTAGAACACAAACGTAGTTTAAAAATAACTAAATACACGTTTCACTAATGCTACCCTGAATAAAAATAAACTAACCAAAGTTTATGGAATGAATTATTTTAAGAAAATAACAATTTTATTGTCTTTGTAGACCATGTAGACATGGACTTTATGAAAATATTAACCTTAGGTTCAGGATTTCCAATATTTTAAATATAATTGCTCTTCTGTGTGGAATAAAAAAACAGATTTTGACTGGATTTATTTGGATATTTACAGAAATTCTCACATAGTGCTACAAATGACAACTTTCCATGTATTTCAACAAACAATTACAAAATGAATGAACTGAATTGCACATATAATATGGATTAAATTATACAGAACAAAAGGTAACTATTACATTGGCAAGATACATCATTTTAATACTATTTGTCCTTCACAGACATCTAACTGTCGTCTGCTAGGACTTTCATTCACTGTTGGGTTTGCTGTAATGACAGCAGGGGTATTTTCACTGGCCAATACAATCTGTCCTTCACACACCTGTATATTTGTTCTAGGATTATTTTCCTGACTTTCATCAACAGGAATACTACTCTGAATGTTGCTACTTGCTGATTGGTCAGCAGTGTTCAAGTTTGGATTGGACAACATAATTTGACCATTTTGAACTTGAAGCAAAGCAGATGAAGGTCTCTCTGAACTTACTTGTTCATTGTCTGATGTTTGTGTAGGTTGCAAATTATCTGAAATATTTGTTAAAAGAATTTGGCCTCCTTGAACATTTATCGTTGGTTGCCGTGGAAGACTATCTGTACCTGACTGAGGACGTCCACCATGTGAACGATGAGTTAATGTCTGAACAGCAGCATTTTGTGTTCTAGGCCGGCTATCAACAGGCTGATTAGACCTATCTCGCCTATTTACAGGAGTTTGGCCTGAACTAGGTCGTTGACTTCTAGTTGGTGTAATATTTATCACGCTATTGACTTGTAATGGATTTCTATCAATTGTACTATAATCAGGAGGTGAAATATTCTGAGTATCGAATATTTCCTGTTCCACGTCTGAATAAGATGGTGGGGCTTCCATTATTGCAGTAAATTCAGCAAATTCTGCCCCTGGAACATACTGAATTCCATTGTTCACATTAACAATAATATTGCCATAGTTAGCAGATGGTGCCATATTTAAGAACGGATCCTCAGCTTGATAATTGACTGGGTCATGACCACTATCTCTTTGACCTCTCCCTGACCTTTCAGAACCATATGTCCTACGAACTGTGTTCCGTTTCATTCTGATTCGGAAGACAGCCACAACAATTACAGAAATGAAGAAAACAACACTGACAGTACAACCAATCACAACATACAATGTCGTCTTTAGCCAGCTCATGTGATCATCTTGTGTTTTTGTTGCATTAATTGTTGTATTTGCTGTATCTGAAAAAAATCACAAGAAACAGACAGTAAATTCTCTGTTAGAATAAGAAGTTAGAGTGATAAAACTATGCCTCACCTTAAAGTTAACATTTTTTTTATATAATTTTCATCATGATATCTTCATTCCCAATATTTTATTATACATGATATAGATCCAAATTTCCATGTTTTTCATTGTACTAGTTAAAATCAAAGTTACCTAATTACTCAGAGAAAGATTGGAAGAGTTAACGTTGTGTGCATAATTTACAACCATATTTTAGTCTTCCATAGAGATAATTTTTTATCACTGTTATAGTGCATTACAACAATTGTTTATATACAAATAATTTTTTGGGATTCAATTATACAGATACCTATAATAGGTGTAATACCACCATTGATTTTCCCCTATTAGTCTTTTGTTAAATTTGCACTTTTCAAAAAAATTGTGCAGAATTTATCTTTGACTTTCTTTTAAACAAAGAAATACGTGGCAGGAGTAAAGTTTTATCCTGTTCAGTACTACAGACAAAATTTCACATAACTTTTCATTGCATATAAGATAATAACCATCACTGGAAGTGAACCAATCAAATGTCACCCCTTTTTTTCCCTGTGTACAAGCTTAATATAACCATGTAACCTCAAGTTTCCAAAATATTCTATAGAAACACCAAATAAACAAGCATTCTGAGAGTATTGCATGGCAATACATAGTCCCCTACTGGGTAAAAATTCATTATACTGGAACAAAAAGCTAACTTGTTCCATAACTTGTCATGGTGTAAACAAAAAGAAAATATCAAGTCAATATCTTCAAGCATGACTAAATACAGTGTGGAAAACTGATTAAATGAGTGAATTTTTCAAGTCCAAGGACCATAACTCTGCACTAAATTATCAGACCGAAACAAAATCTCGAACTTGATCTGTATAACTTGTCATGATAAAACTATATACCAATTATCAATCAATATCTTCAAGCATGATGAAAAAAGGTGTGGAAAACACTTTAACATTAGATATGATTAATAGTTCTCTAAAATTAGATATGATGTAATACAGTGTATATCTATTTTTTAAATTATAATCAAATATAATTAATAGTTCCAAATATTTTTTGTTTTATTTGTCTCAAACTAATATAGATTTGTAACTTATCTATAAAATGTCGTCAACAATTTTTATCTACACAATGTAATGTAATATATACATTAATAAAAATAGATTATTAACTTATTAAAGGATTTAACTTCATAATTTTGTTTATATATATATATATATATATAGCATTCAGAAAATTAGTTTATACAAAATAAATAACAAACCTGCCAAAAAATTCTTCAAATAATTTACCAAAGAATGTCTTTTAAAAAATTAGTTATCTCCCTTTGTACAGAAATATAGTTTAACATAGTACTCTTAACATTAGATATGGTCCAGAGTTATGGTCCATAACTCTGGACTAAATCATCAGACCAGAACAAAAATCTATAACTTGTCATGGCAAAACTATATACCAAATATCAAATCAATATCTTCAAGAACGAAGAAAAAAAGTGTGGAAAACTGATTTGCTGGACTGACTGATGGACGGACAGAGTGCAAACCTAAAGTTCCCTTCGACTTCGTCAGTAGGGGACTAAAAAAGAATGGTGCTTTGAAACACCCAAGATAAATGTTTATGACTCAGAATTTTTTTAGTGCAATGAAATGTAGGATGAATTTCCTACAACTGTCAAATTCAAGGGAATATTGTTTTTCCTATGCAACCAGATGTGACATACTATGATTTGGTGGTATTACACCTATACTGCTAAAAAGCAATATAATAGGGGAAAACTAAACATAAATTTTATTGTATTTTTTCAAATCAATACTAATTGTTACCTTTACCTTATGCATGTTATTATTAATAAAAGATTATTAAAGCACTGATTTTATAAGTAAACAAGACCCTATTTGCATTTTTCATCGTTGAGACATCATATACACAATGATTTTATGTACATGTAGTATAGATCAAAAGTAATAGATAAATAATTATAGGAATTCAAGTATAGAAAAATATTTAACAAATGACAAAACAGCACATTAATTCACGAATGGGTGTAGTGCATGAGTTAATTATCAGTGTTGTTCGGTCACGAGTTGAATATTATTCGATATTTGAATTCTTTAAATTGGTTATTCATTTTATTACTGTGACAATGGGCTTTTTAATGGAAATAAAGTAGAAAATGCAAGGAACTATATCCTTTTCTATGCATTCACAATTTGCTTTGATGCAACTTCATCGACAAAGTATTCTCAACACCTATTGTTTTTTGTATGACGTCAGAGGAGTGAAATTATCTAGTTTATTTCACATGTGAAGTTATCAGTTTTTATTTCACTGGGAAATCACAGTAATTCATTGCAACCAATGTAATAATTAAATATATTTCATTTCTAAATCAAACATCTCACATACTACTGAGGTTAAGAGCTGTACATTGAGTAGTGTAATTAAATCTTTGATAAATTATGTAAGACAAACATTAAACGAACTTTGGTCAATTAAGATTGCATGAAAGAGGAAGGCTTTTCAATCAAAACTCCACCTTTAAGTAATTGTTGATTATGACAACTGTTAATCATACTGGTATTGTATCAGCATGCTAGCTTTACATCTCCCCCTTTTTTATTTAATATTGTATTTATATTGTGTCATAGATCAAATTTATTCGTTCAGTGTATGTTTATTTGTTTTTGTTAATATGTCTTTTTGATTGAGTTAAGCCATTTCAATTGATATTTTATAGTGTGTCTTTCTATGTTGTAATGTTACACTACTATTTCAGGTAAGGGTGAAGGTTGGAGCCTGATAAAACATTTAAACCCACTGCATTTGTTTGCACCTGTCCTAAGTCAGGAACCTGTTGTTCAGTGGTTGTCGTTTGTTGATGTGGTTCATAAGTGTTTCTCATTTTTTATATAGATTAGACCGTTGGTTTTCCTGTTTGAATTGTTTTACACTAGTCATTTTGGGGCCCTTTATAGCTTGCTGTTCGGTGTGAGCCAAGGCTCTGTGTTGAAGGCCATACTTTGACCTATAATCGTTTACTTTTTACACATTTTGACTTGGATGGAGAGTTCTCTCATTGGCACTCATACCACATCTTCTTATTTCTGACAATGATGAAATTAGCAATTAAATTAACATACCTATTTTTATATTGGAGTTTAAAAACCCTGACAGCCCATTAGAGTCTGGCAGTCAGTTGACAAGCCTAAATCAGTTATCTGCTTTATAGATATAACCCTAATTTTTAAACATCTTTATCGTGTGCATTTTTACAGTCATGAACCGATGAGAAATATTGGGAACTATATATCAGGGTATGTTACTCTGTAGATTTAGTGGCTAACAAGTCTGCATCCGAGCTGGTGAGGGAGGTGCCTTAGGAAAAACATTGGAACAATAGTTCCAATCTTTCAAAAAACCAAACAAACTATTTTCACATGAATTTATTTTTTATTTACACCTAAGTATTTTTAACTTTTTTTTTATGTTTACAATCCTTATGTAAAAATTACAATTAATAATCTGAATCATGACTTTTTATTTACAAACTTCTGGTATACTAATATAATCATGCTGATACTCCTAAAGCATTATATTAGAGACATTATCATCCTTTCAATGGTTCTTACAATTCCTTGATATATCTTTCAATTAACTAGATTATTGCATTTTATAACAACAACTAACAAAAACAAAAGATAATCCTTACAAGTTAGTATCACTGCTCTTTCTACTATTCTGTAATGTTACAGACCAGACATATCAGTAATGTTGTTCCTCTTACGAATGTTAGTGTTTTGAAACGTACCTTTCTTTTGTTCAGCAATGTTTTGTAGCTGACAATATTCATCAGAGGCATCTCCACAATTGTTCTCTTTATCACATACTAATTCTTGGTCTATACATTTCCCATTTAAACAATGGAACTTTTTCTCACAAAGACCTGAAATATGTGATCATCATACTGAGTAACCAGTTAACGATTTCGTTAATATAACCATCGTAGACATAATATATTTTAAAACATGACCTTTCAGACTTTCTACCTATATCTTGATTTTTCTGTTACTACATGTAAATTCAGAAATTATTGTGTGCATTTATTATTGCGATTTTTTTGAAGAATAGAAAACAATGTGAGATTAATTATTGCAATTTCAGGAAAATCTGCATACAAATATATGTATCAGATATCAGAATGCCAGTTCTTGTTATTGAAATTCTCACCAGATACATTACTTGCATTAATAAAAACCTTGCAATAATTTCTGAATTTACAGTATTTATATACAATAACTGTACAATTTTAATTATCTATAAAATAATGTTCTCCGATCCAATACACAAATGGTCCACATTCTAACAAAATTTTCTCTTTGATCCATGCAATGATTTTTCCTTCCTCATACATGTACAATATAGCTCTTTTTATAAAACAATGATTTTTCCCTTAGGCCATGTCCTAAGCTTGAAATAGTTCTCAATTCAGACTCCAGGTTCATAAACTTTCCTACTTATCTGGTACTTACTGATCTTTCATCCATCAACATACATTAACAGTGATAACTCTGATATCTTTCTTACCTATACAGTGATTACTCTATCTTTCTTAGTTACCTATACAGTGATTACCCTGATATCTTCCTTACCTATACAGTGATTTCTCTGATATCTTTATTACCTAAACAGTGATAACTCTGATATCTTCCTTACTTATACAGTGATAACTCTGATATCTTTCTTACCTATACAGTGATTACTCTAATATCTTTCTTACATATACAGTGATTACCCTGATATATTTCTTACCTATACAGTGATTTCTCTGATATCTTTCTTGCCTAAACAGTGATAACTCTGATATCTTCCTTACTTATACAGTGATAACTCTATCTTTCTTACCTATACAGTGATTATTCTGATATCTTGCTTACCTATACAATGATTACTCTATCTTTCTTACCTATACAGTGATTTCTCTGATATCTTTCTTACATATACAGTGATAACTCTGATATCTTCCTTACCTATACAGTGATAACTCTGATATCTTTCTTAATTATACAGTGATTTCTCTGATATCTTTCTAACCTATACAGTATTTCTCTGATATCTTTCTTACCTATACAGTGATTTCTCTGATATCTTTCTTACCTATACAGTGATTACTCTATCTTTCTTACCTATACGGTGATTACTCTGATATCTTTCTTACCTATACAGTGATTATTCTGATATCTTTCTTACCTATAAAGTGATTATTCTGATATCTTTCTTAATCTTCCTTACCTAAACAGTGATTACTCTTGATATCTTCCTTACCTATACAGTGATTACTCTATTTTTCTTACCTATACAGTGATTACCCTGATATCTTCCTTACCTATACAGTGATTACCCTGATATCTTCCTTACCTGTACAGTGATTTCTCTGATATCTTCCTTACCTATAGAGATATTAGTCTGATACATGTATCTTCCTTACCTACATCTATACAGTGATTTTTCTAATATCTTTCTTACCTATACAGTGATTACTCTGATATTTTCCTTACCTATAGAGATATTAGTCTGATATCTTCCTTACCTACATCTATACAGTGATTTTTCTGATATCTTTCTTACCTATACAGTGATTACTCTGATATTTTCCTTACCTATACAATGTATTTCATCGGAACCATCTTCACAATCAGTCCAGTTGTTACAGTGGTAATGTAAAGCTATGCAATGACTGCTCCCTTCACATTTGAACTGATTACTCCCACATTTATGGTCAATATTTGCTGAAACAAAAAAATAAAACTATTTATGACCAATTTTGTTTACCTTAAAGAAAACATAAATAGCTCTAGCTCAAGTATCTAACACCTTTTTTATTCATATACATTGTGTTATAAACTGTTTACAGGAGTTACAACAAAATGTTTTTTGCTCTTTGGTCGGGTTGTTGTCTCTTTGACACATTCCCCATTTCCATTCTCAATTTTATTGTAAAAATATTTCTATATTTATTTTCAAAGTACCGTAAACCAAGACTTTAACATGAAACAGAAAGGCCAGATGACCAGAAAGACAGACCCTGAAAATATATTGTTCCTTACTATCTTAGCCAGGGCATAGCAATAATTGGTACTCCAATTTCCATTTTATTTCATGAAAACTGCTGATGTTAATTATGATCAATAAAAAAATCATCACTTTCTTTCGATAAGTTTTTGTTTTATTCACTTAATAAGAATCATTTTCTCTTGTATAATTTATATGAAAGTGTTGAATTTTAAACCCTATATTGCTTTAAAAATAATTAGCTTTTTCAGTTGAAAATTTTATTTCTGTACATTTAAATCTTCATATTTTTTATGCAATATTTTGAAAATGTGTCAAGAATAAAATTCAAAATAAAAGAAAACTGAAACTGCAATAAAAGTTTGAACAGGAGATCTGAATTACTTTGGTACTAGGTGTAGGACATTTTCATTATTGTCTAGTTCAACAAATTTTAATCTAGGCTTCATCTTAATGCATGAAATATACGGATACCTCTAAAATATTAATATTTACCGGTATATGCAGACCTGATAACTTTTGAAAATTCTCATGGGGGATTTAGTGCGAGACCAGATTTTTAAGGGTTTAACTGTTTTTTACTCTTTAAATAGTCTCATATCTCTTCTTTTTCAATTTCTTATATTTGCATGACTCTTGAACTTATTTATTGGCAAAACAACTTAGGAATAGAGAAAATGGCCTAAAAAAATAAAGGATACAGAATGAAAACCCCCCTCCCCCTTCAAAGTCCTTCTTATCTTTCCACCATGACTCAAAAGACCTAAACCTAAATGTCCTAAAGTTAGAAGGATGAAGACAGACCTTGAGTTTAGTCTATCAGTTAAATGAGAAAATGAATAAAATTTGAGTTATCTTTCTTGGTATTCAGAGGTGCTCCTACCGGCAGAGTCTTAAACATATAGAAGTGAATACAATATGGCGTTTATTTTAAATCAGAACAGGACAGAAACACGTCCGATTTCAAAACTTTAATGGATTTCAAGATAAACAATGTTTCCTAATGAATTCATTACAGTTCTTGTCTTTCAGTTAATAACGTTTTTGTCATGAAACTACAGTAAAAGTTGCAAATTGTGATTGTATGATAAATTGATTATAATTGAAATGCTGACTGACCGCTTCTATTTACAAATTAATTAATTTTGAGGATCATTATGACCCATCAGATAAGCAGATTACCTGTAACAACATTATTATGACACCTGTTGTGGGCATTGATAAGCTTGGGGTCGTAAATTTGTAATAAATATGTCGCCAGGTAAAATTATGGATTTCTAGAAATTGATCAGAAAAACTTCAAAATCGGAAACCATCAATTTTTTGGGGTAGATTTTGACTTGTTTTACGATTCCAATATTGGGATTCAGCTTGAGGCATGAAAACCGGGATGATACTGCCAAAAGCGGGATAGTTGGCAGGTCTGTATATGTACAATGTAACTTACATCTAGCATTTTTGACCATTATATACAGTCTTTTGGTAATAACTGAGGATGTTGTATTATATAAACACTTATATAAGCCAGCATCAGATTTATGTATTCTCTGGAAATATAATGTTGCTGTGTGATAGCTGGTGATATTCTGAGGCAAGTTTTGCCTACGATAGACTTGCCCTCTGGCTTTCCAGTATGGTATCTGCCATTTTTCTGCATGGTCTCTGTCCTTGACACTACAGTTAACCTCTAAACTTTGACCTTCCTTGACATTAATTTGATCATGGTCTGGGCTAAGTATCATTTGAGGTGCTAAAGCACAGAAACATTCTACAAATTAAAGAAGAAAATGTTTGATCATTGGGAGACACTTCTAGTCATGGCAGTTGTATCCTGTTAAGGTAAGTTCTAGTGATAACTTTTTGAATCAGTTAATATAAAGCTTTAATGGTATATAATTCAATGAATGCATTAACTGTGAAGTTAGCAGCTTGTCCTCCTCTCCCAAGTGAGAATGATAATATAACCAGCCAGAGCTAAGACATAAATAAGTCTTCTAATTTTCCTTTTGACTCATGCATAGAGGTCTAAATGTGTATGTTTCATGAGCGAAAATCCTTTATTTCAAAGGAAATACGACTTTAACCAGTCAGTTATTGTTAAGCAAAACAAATTAGACCATCATCAAAATTTTGCAAATTACTTTTTCCATTTGATAATTTACCAAAATCTGCCAACTTCATGACTTATGTATATATATATTATATATATAAAGGTCAAGCATCAACATTAAATTGTGACAGCATTATTAGGCAACACTCGTGTTAAGTGGTGACATGATAGAGACCTACAAGAGTACATGACCCAAGAGTAACAGAAGGCTTATTCATGTGTAACACAAGCTCAACAACAAGAGGAAATTTGATGAAATTGGTTAAGAACAGAAGCAGACCTAGACATAAGAAATACTACTTTATGAACTGAAAACAGTAAGAGAATTAATAAAATGAAAATTTTTTATGCTAATGACCTCAAAATCGTAAACTTTTTTTATCAGTTGCATTTGCACTTTACCCTGTTCTGCTCTGTTGACGGACACTGCCATGCTGTAAGTCATTCCCGCAAATTTATTTATCTGATTACCAAAAGAAAATGGCAATAATATGATGACCAATATTTTGAATTAAAGTCGGAGTACTCAATAAAAATAGTGCTCTTTCAACATGCTATTTTCAAGATAGCAAACACATTGAGATGGAAAACTCACCTCATCAGACAGAATTTTGTATCCTTATCCGATGCACAAAGAATAATGATAAGCTGATGGGGTATTTTCGTAGTTTAAGGTATAAATTATTATACTTTTTATAAATAATACTTTATTAGGCAAAATAAAAATGTTACCTGAAGTAGATAGTGTTTCTTTGTTTACATTGAAAATGGCCTCATCAATAAAATTTGTAACAACAGGACCAACATTGAATACATTTCTGAATATTTAATATTTTTTTCAACAGAAATTATGCTGGGAATAAATTGTTTTGCAATTTGGTAAAGGGGTAATTATTGTCAATCCCTCAGTCATAAAGCCAAGATGAAGGGCATCTCAAAAGTTACTAATTGTTTTAAATTAGTGTTTTTTTTTATTTGTAATGTCATAATTGGTCAAAGAAAAGAAAAATTTGAAGTTTTCTGTAGTTTTAATTTTGCATAAAACATTCATTAATAAAGTAATTAAGTGTATGGACTTCGCCATCTTTCAAAGGTTTCACCTGCCTCATATTATTCGTATACAGATGAAGAAAATACGATGTTTACGATGTAGACAGAAGAACCCTATAAACTATCTCATTGACATTGTAAGGGTGTTGATAAATAAAAACAATCACATAACAAGTAAATTTGTCTACATTTGCAATATACCTTGGAAAACAATATACAAATGAGCAAATATCAGCAGAATAGCTGTCAATTTGCGCATTTTCAGTTCATCCAATTTGACAGACCATTTTTCTGATTTTATATCGGAAGTGGTTTAACAGCACCATCTATTGGGAAACAAAATAGATAATAGTAACCAAAAAGATGGTGAATGACAAGCAATGCAAACGTACCTTATTTATTTGCCATCCTCTCCTAACTAGTTGGCAAATTTAACGGCTCTAAATGTAAGATTGCGTTATTATCAGTAAAGAAAAGTGAACTAATGGAAAATAAATCAAATTATAGTTAAATTAGATGCTCATAAGGACTGAATCGTTCATCTTACAAAATGTGTAATTTCAAGAGTTCGGTATTTTTGTTATTTTACTTCTTATATTGTTTTTTCATGTTTATTGTGGTCATTTTTCTCCTATTTTTTTTCAAATATACAGCTTTTCAAGTGTATTTAAGGAAATATTTATATTGGATATATTTTTGCTGCAAAACATTGGTGAAATGTAACTTAAGGGCAATAACTCCTATAAGGAGTGTTTGACAATTTGGTCCAATGAATGTATAAAATATAACTATTATAGTTTTTACGATAATATGAGGAAGGCGCTACCTTGAATGCCAGCTTACCAAAACTATGTCCTACATATTGATTGATTGTTGGTTTGCTTAACGCCCAGTGGCAAATATTTCATGCATGTTCAGGACGAATGTCCTACATATAGTTTTTGTCTAAAATAAAATAATAAGTTTAGATGGAAAATGTTTAGGGAAAGATCATTGAACTTCAAAAGGCAGAAGGAGGTATGGTATTTTTTTTTTTGGTGTGTCGCAGGAAGCATCAAAGCAAAAATTTAAAATAGCCTTCTTGGACGTCATAATTATTTGGACTAGTATTTTTCTTTAAAAATTGATGACAAAAAATACTCTGTTCAAGCAGAAGACAAAAAAAAATATTCTGAATCCAGATTTTCCCCATACCTTCTAGTGTTATATTTTGACTAAATAATTTTGATTGATAGCATTGAAGTGCTTCACGTGTAAAAAATCTGACTCAAACAAAAAACCATACCCCCTTTGAAGCTAGATGGTTGCTTCCTTATTGTTTTCTGCTGAAAATGAATTTATTGGTGATTTATATAAATGACAATGATTACATTCATTATCTTGTGCATTTTCATATCCATTTTTCTTTCTTTGCAAATTTTATAAAATTTAAAACAATAAGACATTTGTTTAATTTCAAAACTATGAATACTGTACAGTTATACAATCCATAACTTTATTAAATTAATTTTTTGTTGATTTTCATGAAAAGGTGGAGGATTTGGAATATCTTTTTCATCAATATCTAAAAGTTGTAGTGGTTTTTTTTTATTTAGTATTGCAAACAACGCTTTCTGTTTGTTGAATTATTTTTACTTTCTAAATTAGCTGGTTGTTCATATTGTATTCCCAGTTTCCTGCATCTCATATATATGTGATCAGCAAGAGGATCATTCTGATTGTTAAAAGAAGAGTTTGAATTTACAGTGAGCCTGCTTAGAATAATGTTTAAAGATTTTGCTATTTTCTAGGATGCTATTTAAAATTTGAGGGGAGAACACTACTCAGTAGTATAAATGTATTCCTGATCATCTTCTTTTTGTGGTTTTCTACATCAATTTCATGTACTAATTCAGAGTCGGTTTTATGTCATTTCTTGCAAAAATTGTTTTATTAGCTTACTTTTCAAGTTTTTATATGACGGCAATATAAAATTGAGAATCGAAATGGGGAATATGTCAAAAATTTGCTTTCGAGTAATGCTATCATGTCGCTGTTGCTGTCCGAAGACACATTTGGTTTCCGGACAATAACTTTAGTTTAAGTAAATGGATCTCTATGACAATGTATGAAATTGTACCAGAAGGTTCAATACACAAAAGGAAGGTTAGAATTGATTTTGGGGGTTATGGAACCAACAGTTTAGGAGTCAGTGGTCAAAAACAACATTTTTGGGTTGTTTTTTTTCCATAATTTTTGGGTTTTTTTTCCAAAAATTTACCATTTTTGTCGAGCCTGCGACTTTTGTCGCAGAAAGCTCGACATAGGGATAGTGATCCGGCGGCGGCGGCGGCGGCTACGGCGGCGGCGGCGTAAGCTAACTTCTTAAAAGCTTTATATTTTAGAAGGTGGAAGACCTGGATGCTTCATACTTTGTATATAGATGCCTCATGTTACGAAGTTTCCGTCAGTCACATGTCCAATGTCCTTGACCTCATTTTCATGGTTCAGCGACTACTTGAAAAAAGAGTTCATATTTTTTGGAATGTTAAATTCTCTCTTATTATAAGTAATAGGATAACTATATTTGGTATGTGCGTACCTTGCAAGGTCCTCATGCCAGTCAGATAGTTTTCACTTGACCTCGACCTCATTTCATGGATCAGTGAACAAGGTTAAGTTTTCGTGGTCAAGTCCATATCTGAGATACTATAAGCAATAGGTCTACTATATTTGGTGTATGTAATGATAGTAAGGGGTACATGTCCAACTGGCAGGTGTCATCTGACCTTGACCTCATTTTCATGGTTCAGTGGTCATAGTTTAGTTTTTGTGTTTTGGTCTGTTTTTCTTATACTGTATGCAATTGGTCAACTGTATTTGGTGTATGGAAATATTGTACGATGTTCATGTCAGTCTGGCAAGTTTTATTTGACCTTGACCTCATTTTCACGGTTCATTGCTCAATGTTAAGTTTTTGTGTTTTGGTTTGTTTTTCTAATACTGTATGCAGTAGGTCAACTATATTTGGTGTATGGAAATATTTTACGATGTACATGTCAGTCTGGCATGTTTTATTTGACCTTGACCTCATTTTCAAGGTTCATTGCTAAATGTTAAGTTTTTGTGTTTTGGTCTGTTTTCCTAATACTGTATGCTGTAGGTCAACTATATTTGGTGTATGGAAATATTTAATGATGTACATGTCAGTCTGGCAGGTTTTATTTGACCTTGACCTCATTTTCATGGTTCATTGCTTATGTTACGTTTTTGTGTTTTGGTCTGTTTTTCTTACACTTTAAGCAATAGGTCAACTATATTTGGTGTATGGAATGGTTGTAAGGTGTACATGTCTAGCTGGCAGGTGTCATTTGACCTTGACCTCATTTTCATGGTTCAGTGGTCAAAGTTAAGATTTTGAGTTTTGGTCTTTTTTTCTAATACTATATGCAATAGGTCAACTATATTTGGTGTATGGAAATATTTTATGATCTTTATGTCAGTCGTGCAGTTTTTATTTGACCTTGACCTCATTTTCACAGTTCATTGCTCAGTGTTAAGTTTTTGTGTGGGGGTCTGTTTTTCTTAAGCAATAGGTCAACTATATTTGTTGTATGGAAGAATTGTTAGCTGTACATGCCTGCCTGGCATGGTTCATCTGACCTTGACCTCATTTCCATGGTTCATTGGTCAATGTTTATTTTTCTTGGTTAATGTTAAGTTTATGTGACAGTTGTAAGAAAGCTTTATATTTAGGACTATCAACATAATATCAATGATTAGTAAAGAAGGCGAGACATTTCAGCGTGTGCACTCTTGTTACATTGATTATTTCTCATTTATATATAAATACAACAAATACTGATATGGCAGGTGATACACAAGAAATAGTGTGTGTAAATCATTTTATCTGTAATTTGTGCATTTTTCCTTTGATGTGTACGCCTTGTCCTTGATAATGTCGACGTCATTATCAGTGGACTGGTCATGATAAAGAAAATATATTGGGTTAGTTCGCAATTGACATGCACAAGTGCACCGCAAAAGGATCTTCTTTCCCTTTAATTCACAAAATTGCACATGATTTTTTTCACAGAAACGCACACGTTATTTCATGAATGAAACACTTGTCATTGTTTGAAACTTTCAGTAATCAGCTGGTAATAAAACTTTAGTTTAGCCTTTTTGAACGATTCACTGATTGTGTGAAAATTTGAACAGAAAATGTACGATAAACCTGATAAAATTGCGGAATTATTGATAGCTTTCCTTACTATTCACAAGGACATATCACTAACATATCGTCCATGCTATTCCGATTTGAGTTTTTATTCCTACATAGTCTGGCATGGCTGGTGCTGTTCCAAGTTGTCTTCTTTTGCTGCATGTTTCTTGAGAAGTATTTGTTTGACCTGGTCAGTCACTATAAAGTGTTACAATTCATATTAAGACGCAACACATAAATAGTGACCAAAAAGGTACCGCTTTCACATGCATGTCATGAGAGAATCTAGAAAAAAAATTAAATGTACACATTTTCAACATTTTTGTTGGACTATCATATAAAATTAAGGAAATATGTAGTTGGAGACTGCTGCTGAAAAGAAATGTTTGGGCTCACCTGATACCTGTTTTCAAATAAGTCCATATTAAAGTTTGAAGGGTCCAAAATTAAAATATGTTTGATTTCAACTGACATAAAATTTTTGGTGTTTTTTATATGCTAAATCTACATCTGTGGTTGTATCAGGCTGTGCTTGGCGAAGCATTTTATTGCTGTTTTGTTTGTACTTTATTTTATTTTGGTCATGAAAATTAACTTGTAGTTGTGAAGTTACTAACATTTTAAAAGATGATAATTAGATAACTTCGCATGGTGACGACACTGATGTTTTCGTAGATTTACTTTTTCCCAGGAATGCTTCATCTGTTGATACATGTATATTGTCACTGTGAACGATTTGTGTCTCAAAAAAAACTTGAAAGATTTCTGCAGTTATTTTTGTTGAATACATACATACACATAGGGTGAAAATTGGGTACTTGGTGCAATTTGGGTACTGTGACGTTATAGCCATAATTGTTTATTGCTATAATAGGTTGAAATGTGCACCTGATAAAAGTATTCGGTAAAGTGAAAATGTTTTGATCAGGTTTAAACTGACCCATAAAATATACTGGTGACTGCGGGAGGCAAATATTTATATTGCCTCCAAATAATGTGTCTGCAGCTTGAATTTCAAAGGATGTATGTAGCCCACATACTTCCAAGTAACATGCTCTATACCTATCAAAAGTCATGGTATTATCATGGGTTATCATAACTCCATTGT